GTGTATTATTCATAACTGGCCGAGATTGCCAAACACATGAAGCTTCACTTAACACTTCCAACCCTGGCCAGCAAACAGCCAGACGTCTACCTGCGTATCCCACAGCTACAAGGAATTTGTTGAGTTATGTAATAAGTTGGACAGCATCACCAGAAACCACAACTTTCCCTATCTAGACTCACTATCAGCATCACTTGAAACTCATCATCAGAAACTGTATATATATATATATATATATATATATATATATATATATATAAAAACTAGTTGGACTGCCATCATCATCAGAAACTGTGTATATATGTATAACTAGTTGGATTGCCATCATCAGAAACTGTATATACATACAACTAGTTGGACTGCCGTCATCATCAGAAACTGTACATATATATATATAACTAGTTGGATTGCCATCATCATCAGAAACTGTTTGTATATAATGTGTTGGACTGCCATCATCTTTAGAAACTGTTTTAACTGTTTTCAAGTTCATCATTTGTAGCTGACCAGATTGTTACAGTTACAATCATAGTTAGACATGGTTCCACTAGGCAGTATTGTAATGATCTAAACGTTATGTCATCACTTGCACCTTGTACAAACCATTGTGCAACAGTGTTAGAACAATAGTCAGACATTGTATCATTATGTGCAACGGTGTTAGAACAATAGTCAGACATATCATGTTCAACAGTGTTTTAACAATAGTCAGACATTGTATCATTATGTGCAATGGTGTTACAACAATAGTTAGACATATCATGTGCAACAGTGTTATAACAATAGTCAGACATTGTATCATTATGTGCAATGGTGTTATAACAATAGTTAGACATTGCATCATCATGTGCAACAATGTTATAGCAATAGTCAGACATTGTATCATTATGTGCAACAGTGTTAGAACAATAGTCAGACATATCATGTTCAACAGTGTTTTAACAATAGTCAGACATTATATCATCATGTGCCACAGTGTTTTAACAATAGCCAGACATTATATCATCAGTTGCTACAGTCTTATAACAATAGTTACATGTTATATCATCATCTGAGACAGTGCTCTTCAGATACCAGAACTATTCACTCGTTTCATAAAATTGGTATTACACGGGAACGAGTTTAGTATTTTATATATAACAATAGTCAGACATTATATCATCAGGTGCAATGTGTTATATACCAAGAGTTAGATGTTATATCATCATGTGAGACAGTGTCATAACAATAGTCAGACATTGTATGATCATGTGCAATATTGTTATAACAATAGTCAGACATTATACCATCAGGTGCAACATTGTTATAACGATAGTTAGGTGTTATATCATCATGTGAGACAGTGTCATAACAATAGTTAGACATTATATCAGGTGCAACATTGTTATAACAAAGTCAGACATGCAACCATTTAGGACAACATTGTTCTAAGATGGCTGACTTTTCTTCAATAACAGGTGCGAGTTACTACACATTCTACCATCATCCCGTGCAACAGGTGGCTTAAACTTCCACATCAGCAACACAGCAACATAGCATCCCAGTCATCATTGTTACAGTCATCATACAGTCTGCATCCACTTACACAACATGTACAACCTGCACACCACCATTGCCTCCTCTCCCAGGCAACTATTACCTATCACGTACAGTGTTTCCCCGACACCGTGCACACCCTGTTGGAGTGAGTGTTTAGAGACTACGCCATGATACAGGTGCCTGTTCAAGCAGCTGTTTGGTTTGTTTCAGGGAGAGAAAGGCCAGCGCGGATACTCAGGTTTTCCGGTGTGTGATCAGTTCATCTGGGAATGTTTTCCCATGTAATTCCTAGACAATTGTTTCTGTTTCTCTGAAGGATTTTTCTCTCACTATCTCTGTGCATCATGAAGATTTCTTGCCCATAGCCACGTCCACTTCCAGTCCTGCTGTCCACACTTGGTCCCCCGTTAGGGATAACTCCGTCAAATGTGGGGAGAACGTAGAATAAATCTGCCAACTGCAGCCACCTCTCAAAGGAAGTATTCCAACTAAGTCCCGTCAATTCCATATACAGTGAAACCTCGCTAGTCCGGGCCCTGTTAATCTGGAAACACCACCTTCTGGACCATTTCTGGGAGGGTGTGGCACTCTCAGTTGTTGTAAACTTTCTTTGGGACTTCAGTAGGTATGCTTGTCCAGGTTAACAAGGTTTAACTGTATATGTTTTATATAAGTGTGTAGGCCGTAAGTCCATATACAAAATTGTACTGACTTCAGTAGGAAGGTCAAGGACATGTAGAAGGTCGTAACTACCAGTACATTATTCAGTAGGTTTACCTTTAACTTTCTTAGCATACTTGCAGCACAGTGTACGAGAACAGACATATCATAAGAAACCAGTCATTTATTTGTTAAACCATGTATTTTCCATTATAGTTCAGGATGCTATACAATCAAAGTACAAAATGGGGTTCATCTTCAATTATTGATGAAAATGTATTACAAATTTGATTAACAATTTCTTTACTCCTAAAATACAGACTCAAGGTCAATTCAAGTAGTCTAAGCAAACCAATGCATATGCAAAGTTCAGTGTTTTATTATTGTTGTTGACTAGACTGTAAAGATATCTAGTCCTTAACTCTACAATTATAATTAATAATCCTGTATGGCTAGATTGGGGAGCATTATCTCTGCATGATTCAAGTCAACATACATGTTCTTGGTAGCCTAACACTGGCACAGAAGGTAATCCACGTCTATATATACTCCACCAACGCAAGACGTCCCAGTCTGGCAGCTCTAGAACCAACAGTAGTTGTATGCGAATATAACCACTCACAGCATGGTATGGGATGTATGAGGGTTCAAGTCCGGGAACACAATCTCCGTCTCCGCCACAACTAGACAGTCATGTCCCACATCACACAGCTTCCTGATTGTAGTGTGGTTGAACACTTCCTCCTCTCACCTCACACCCATCTTCATGGGGCACCGTCTTTCATCTTAATTTCTGTGTTTATCTTCTCAATGAATGTGTAACAGTTGTTTATTACATTTCAGCTGAGTATCTGTTACACATTGTAAGATGTCTGAATGTTACATCATTTCTTTGATTACATTCCTGCATATTTCTCCTTATCGGCATCAGGAGGCGCTGTACTCTCGGCACCGGTGTGCATGGTACCACTACAGAATATGCATGTGCATGTTGCTATATCACCTATATCTATATCTCTGTGTGCAGTCTTGGGGGCTGAATATGTTTCACACAGTGACAATAAGTTACCATTAGGACAATACATGTTACCATGGTGACTGTTCTTTGAATCACCATGGTGACAGTAGACTTATTGTCCTGGTAACCATGATTGACCATAGTTACTTGTGTTAACAATGTTGTCACTTTACTATTGCATGTTCAAGATTTTCACTTCTAATCATGTATATGTGAACATTCATTTATCCTTTAAGGGCTTCATGTTTGCTCAGGCTCCACAATACCACAAACATCCTCCATCCTCCATCCTCTGTCAACTCATGGTTGGCTTCTCATCCCCTCATCCAGCAGTTGTTACACAATGATGTTATTGTGATGCTAGAGTGACTGTTTTTTGATACGTGAAGATCTCACAAACACACAGAATCTTACATCAGTGAAGCACCCAGGTTTCCAGCAATACTGACTCCATTGAAAATATACTGACCTCATTGAAAATATACTGACTCCATCGAAAATATACTGACCTCATTGAAAATATACTGACTCCATTAAAAATATACTGACCCCATTGAAAATATACTGACTCCATTGAATATATACTGACTCCATTGAAAATATACTGACTCCATTGAATATATACTGACCTCATTGAAAATATACTGACCTCATTGAAAATATACTGACCTCATTGAATATATACCGGTACTGACCCCATTGAAAATATAAATCTGAAGTTCTGTTCCTGGTGAATGACATATTTTGTGAATTCTATAATTCTGTCAATTCTCTCAAATGTATTAAATTTCAAACCTGGGGTTCTCTATTGATATCAGTTTATGAAGGCAACTTGAACATTTGTTGAGGCAGACCCCCTCAAAATTGTCCCTGTTTGAGAGAGCCTTTGGACACCTTAAAGACAGGGCCTTGGAGCTTCACTGTGTTAATCTGGTGCACATCCAGTATGTATACTGTACATAATGGTTCTAAGTATTAAAAAGATTAACATGCTATGTATTGATTAACCAGTGTCAACTCTGACCATCATTTGGTTGATGTTATAGAAGTTTGCTGACCATTGCTTATATATGTTGTCTTAATCATACACTTGTTCTGTTGTCAGCAATTATGCATGTCATATATTTCAAATTAATTATAATTTTCATCAAACTACCAAGGTGAAATTAGAAACACGGTTGTTTTAATGTGGTGGGGGGTGAGGAACGAACATCATGTCCCTGGTGTAGAGGCAGGTGATGTTGAGTGCGGCACCGCCGATGGTGCGAGTGAGGGCAGGGGGCAAAGGGTGCGCGGTGACTGGAGCGTGACATGCTGGAACCAGAGTAAATCTGGCATCTCCATCACCTCCCCACACACCTGCCTTACACGGCGGCCATCTTGAACAGGTGCCCCTCCCTCTCGCTGGGTGTTGTGGAGGCACACGCCAGCTGTCAACAACCGTGATGTATGGGGCGTGCCACGGTGACAGAGTCACAGAGGATGCTCGTCATCTTGAAACTCGTCATATCTGTTTGATCATGCAATATAATAAATATCTTGTAAGGAATCATAGATCGGAGATTTCACCAAGATTGTTATAAGAATAACATTGTTGAGCATGCCTTAATGACATTGTAAGCATATTCTACTTGTAATTGTGTGATACTGTTGCCAAGCATGATACAGAAAGTACCCAAGCTCAGATATAAGTATATGTTTATGTATATGCAGACCATCCTATGTTACACAGGGAGCATGTCTCAAAGGATTCCAGTGATGAAGTGTGTTGTGTTTGTTGTAGGGTCCCATCGGCCCACCCGGGAAGAGTGGGGAATCGGTACGTGAGCACTTGATCATACATTCTTGTTGTGCACAACTATATTCACAAGAGTTAGTCTGCATTAAAGATCATAGGTAATAATGAAACAGAAGGGTTAACATCGCTGTACCAGAACATCACTGTACCAGAACGTGACTGTACCAGAACGTGACTGTACCAGAACGTGACTGTACCGGAATGTTACTGTACCAGAATGTCACTGTACCAGAACGTCACTGTCCCAGAACGTGACTGTACCAGAACATCTCTGTACCAGAAGTCACTGTCCCAGAACGTGACTGTACCAGAACATCTCTGTACCAGAACGTCACTGTACCAGAACATCACTGTACCAGAACGTCACTGTACCAGAACGTCACTGTACCAGAACATCTCTGTACCAGAACGTCACTGTACCAGAATGTGACTGTACCAGAACATCACTGTACCAGAACGTCACTGTACCAGAACGTCACTGTACCAGAATGTCACTGTACCAGAACATCACTGTACCAGAACGTCACTGTACCAGAACGTCACTGTACCAGAACATCACTGTACCAGAACGTCACTGTACCAGAACGTCACTGTACCAGAACATCTCTGTACCAAAACGTCACTGTACCAGAATGTGACTGTACCAGAACATCACTGTACCAGAATGTCACTGTACCAGAACGTCACTGTACCAGAACATCTCTGTACCAGAACATCACTGTACCATAACGTCACTGTACCAGAACGTCACTGTACCAGAATGTGACTGTACCAGAACATCACTGTACCAGAATGTGACTGTACCAGAACATCACTACATAGGAACAAAAACTTGTGACAAGAGAATTTATTTCATGATGTTTCACATGTGATTGGCCATTCAGAATCAGAGATTTTATGAGAGCTTCTGTGTGTTGCAGGGAAACCAAGGACCAAAGGGAGACAAGGGAGGCAAGGTAAGCATGGGTGGTTGGCAAGGAAAGCATGGTGGGGGCAAGGAAAGCAGGAGGGCGAAAGGTAAGCAGGGTGGGGGACAAAGAAAGCAGTAGTGAGTGGCAAGGAAAGCAAGGTTGGGGGACAAGGTAAGCTGGGCTGGGGCATACAGGGTAAGCAGGGGGGAGGGGACAAGGTAAGCAGGGCTGGGGCATACAGGGTAAGCAGGGGGGAGGGGACAAGGTAAGCAGAGCTGGGGCATACAGGGTAAGCAGGGGGGAGGGGACAAGGTAAGCAGGGCTGGGGCATACAGGGTAAGCAGGGGGGAGGGGACAAGGTAAGCAGGGGTGGGGGACAAGGTAAGCAGGGGTGGGGGACAAGGTAAGCAGGGTAGGGACAAGGTAAGCAGGGCTGGGGCATACAGGGTAAGTAGGGGGTGGGGACGAGATAAGCAGGACTGGGGGTACAGGGTAAGCAGGGGTGGGACAAGGTAAGCAGGGGTGGGGGACAAGGTAACCAGGGGAGGGGACAAGGTAACCAGGGGTGGGGCATACAGGGTAAGCAGGGGTGGGGGTACAGGGTAAGCAGGGGTGGGGCTTACAGGGTAAGCAGGGGTGGGGGTACAGGGTAAGCGGGGATGGGGCATACAGGGTAAGCAGGGGTGGGGCATACAGGGTAAGCAGGGGTGGGGCATACAGGGTAAGCAGGGGTTGGGGGTACAGGGTAAGCAGGAGGGAGGGGACAAGGTAAGCAGGGGTGGGACAAGGTAAGCAAGGGGGACAAGGTAAGCAGGGGGACAAGGAAAGCAGGAGGGGCAAGGAAAGCAGGGGGGGGGGCAAGGCAAGCAGGGGGGGGGGGGGGGGGGGGGGGGGGGCAAGGAAAGCATAGATGGAGGGGGCAAGATGAGGAGTTCAGAACATTTAACCACAATGACAAAAAAACAAAAACAAAAACAACTTTTTGTGCTTTAAATACTTGTGTATGTATACATGCCCACCAATCTTGTTTCAGGGAGATGGTGGGGAGGTGGGCATGAAGGGCGAGCCTGGCCTGGCCGGGTATGACGGCCTGCCTGGAGCTAAGGTAAGACATGGAGGTCTCATGTAGGTGGCATGTCACATGTAGGAACCAAGTTAGTGAGTGGGTGAGTTGGGGTTAATGATGACTTTAACGGTATTTCCGTGTTTCACAGCAGTGATGCTGGTCTTAAATATTTACCACTTTGGTGACACCAATGAGCATGGTATGGTGTTGACAAACCTAGAAACACCATCAGGGCAAACCAGGATTCGAACCCAGGATCATATGTTTCTGGCACACCTAAGGGACGCAACTCTGCACAGCAAATCATGGCACTATAGACACCTGGGCTACGTGTGCCCCCAAATTATGTATAAAATAGTATGTACATTATATTATTATTTGTTGAAGGTGAGGTGGGGTTTATCGTCGCGTCCAAGATTATTACACTTATATAGCGACCAGCATGCACATATGTGTGGCTGCTTGTACTAGTCCGGACTGATGCCGATTTATAGTGCTAGCCCACGGAGATACCATGCCGCAGTTTAACATGAATACCCCACTCAGACACAGTATACTGACTCCAAGCCAACCAGTCCTAGTTTTAGCCCCTTAGCACCAGACAGGGTAACAACAAGTACCATCTTTTAACGTCTTTTGGTATGACACTGCTGGGAATCGAACCCCGGACCTTCCTCTCTCCAGGCAGACACTCTACCACTAGACCAAGCAGGCAGTCCATATGCTGAAGATACCTGAGTGTGTATGTGTCCCTATGCTGAAGGGACCTGAGTGTGTATGTGTCCCTATGCTGAAGATACCTGAGTGTGTATGTGTCCCTATGCTGAAGATACCTGAGTGTGTATGTGTCCCTATGCTGAAGATGCCTGAGTGTGTATGTGTCCCTATGCTGAAGAAACCTGAGTGTGTATGTGTCCCTATGCTGAAGGGACCTGAGTGTGTATGTGTCCCTATGCTGAAGATACCTGAGTGTGTATGTGTCCCTATGCTTAAGAAACCTGAGTGTGTATGTGTCCCTATGCTGAAGGGACCTGAGTGTGTATGTGTCCCTATGCTGAAGGGACCTGAGTGTGTATGTGTCCCTATGCTGAAGAAACCTGAGTGTGTATGCGTCCCTATGCTGAAGATACCCGAGTGTGTATGTGTCCCTATGCTGAAGAAACCGGAGTGTGTATGTGTCCCTATGCTGGAGATACCTGAGTGTGTAAGTGTCCCTATGCTGAAGATACCTGAGTGTGTATGTGTCCCTATGCTGAAGATACCTGAGTGTGTATGTGTCCCTATGCTGAAGATACCTGAGTGTGTATGTGTCCCTATGCTGAAGATACCTGAGTGTGTATGTGTCCCTATGCTGAAGATACCTGAGTGTGTATGTGTCCCTATGCTGAAGATATGTATCTTCACATCCAAGAAAAAGAAATAAACACTGTTGCACTTTATCTTGTGCGTTTTTTCTCACAGGATGAAAAAACTATTAGCATGAGTCTTAACCTTGCTATCAGTGTACGGCAGACATGATCAGCCAAACTGTAGCTTTGAAATAGAAACACTTAACATGAGGTGATGAGATGATTGGCTGATGGAAGGGGGGTAACTCCGTGCAGGACATGTTATCACACATACATGGACGGCAAATTGGTACTTATCACCTACATCAATACACAATCTTTGCATCGATGAATTGTAGCCTAGAACATGTTTACTGTCATATGTCACTGTATATGCTGAATGAGGTGTTAATATTTGTTTTTTGTCTCTTACAGGGTGTAAAAAGATCTATACGAGAAGGAAAAATTATATCATTAAAGGTATTTCTGCAGTGCAAGAAGAAGATCTATCACTGAATTTTTTTAAATATTTTTAAGAGAGGAAAGCTAATTCAGTATAAATTTTAAGACTTATTTTTCAGTCGTTATTCATTATCTGGAAATACTAATTGTGAATGTAAGAGGTTGAAGCAGCAGTTCCAGTTTGTGAAGTATTCTTCCCTCTAACATTCTCTTCTCTTCCTTCCTTCCAGGGATCAGATTATGAAGTAGTTACAATAAAGGTTGGTTGATGAACTTTTCTCACACAGACGTGCATGCCGACATGTGTAGATGCATGTAGATGCCTTTGTCTTTTCATGATTTTTGTAGGTTGTGTTTTTGAATTCACCGACATTCTGCACAGACTCATTCTGATTCGTTTTTTCTTCCCCATTTCTGCTGATGTACTTTCACTGCCCAGTTGTGTTTGTTTTTTCAGTTATTGCATGATGGAAGCAAATTGTCTCAATATCTACAAGCATGTCCTTCATCAGCTATATTGTTGCACTTCAGAACTGTGTCAAGATTGCCAGCTTTGACTAGATGGACTACATTGATTAGGGCCCTCTCATTTAATATTTTTGTGGGGAACTGAGATTAAATATTACTTTTGTCAGAGATCAATCTCATTAAAATCAGATCTTAGTTTTCGTTACCGCTGAACAAAGATCTGAGGACATCCCATTACGGGTCACGTCAGAAATACCTTTCGCGAATTTTGACCGACCAGTGAAATGACTGACAAGAAATCGACATTGGTTAATCAGAAGGCAGCTTTCTCGAGCTGTACGACACAAGTTTCAAACTGGCGACTACGCTTTGAAACATATTTTGGCGTATTCTCGCTTAAAAAATTTCAAACTGATAAGAAGAACATTCTGGAATGGCTTATAGATGGTACAGATTGAATGGATATAATCATAAAACCCGTTACTGTCGTTCGGAATACCCCATGTTAAATATATCGTGGTAGCAAGATTAGAAAACACATTCCGACTGTCACTTTCATGATCTGGTAAGCGACGCTTTGATTGGTTGGATGAAAGGTCGTTCTGACGTGACCCCTAATGGGATGTCCTCAGATCTTTGTTTAGCGATAGCGAGAACTAAGATCTGATTTTAATGAGATTGGTCAGAGATTCAAAACATACACAGTACAATTTATTTTTGGAGGTAAACCTGAGGACTATATATTTTTTGCCAGCTAATTCAGACCAATTTTTATGTTTTTGTTTTTTTTAAATCCCACCTTCCCCCCCAGAATGTGAAATGGTTGGCCCTTAAATGAACCAAAGTCTACTCTGTCATCTTGTTGCCTCTTTATACTCTTCATCCCTACACTGTCTGTCCTTGGCCTCCTCCCTGTGTTGTCATGTAAAGCATGTGCATGTTGTGTAGGGTGACCGCGGACCACCAGGCCTTCCTGCCGGATTGGAGGTGGACGAATATGGCCAGAGAGTCATTGAGCTGAAGGTAGGTCTGTGACTTAAACAGATCCTGCACTGTTTGGGAATGATGTTTTTTGGAACAAGGGTAGGTCGGTGCTGGTGTCTGGAATAGAGGTAGGTGGGTGGTGGTATATGGAACAAGGCTAGGTCAGTGCATGTATTTGGAACAAGGGTAGGTCGGTGCTGGTAATTGGATCAAGGGTAGGTCGGTGGAGCTGGCTGGAGCCAGGTAAGGTCGGTGCTGGTGTCTGGAATAGAGGTAGGTCGGTGGAGCTGGCTTGAGCAAGGGTAGGTCGGTGCTGGTGTCTGGAATAAAGGTAGGTCGGTGGAGCTGGCTGGAGCAAGGGTAGGTTGGTGGAGCTGGCTGGAGCAAGGGTAGGTCGGTGCTGGTGTCTGGAATAAAGGTAGGTCGGTGGAGCTGGCTGGAATAGAGGTAGGTCGGTGCTGGTGTCTGGAATAGAGGTAGGTTGATGGAGCTGGCTGGAGCAAGGGTAGGTCGGTGGAGCTGGCTGGAGCAAGCGTAGGTCGGTGGAGCTGGCTGGAGCAAGGGTAGGTCGGTGCTGGTGTCTGGAATAGAGGTAGGTCGGTGGAGCTCGCTGGTGCAAGGGTAGGTCGGTGCTGGTGTCTGGAATAGAGGTAGGTCGGTGGAGCTGGCTGGAGCAAGGGTAGGTCGGTGCTGGTGTCTGGAATAAAGGTAGGTCGGTGGTGCTGGCTGGAGCAAGCGCAGGTCGGTGGAGCTGGCTGGAGCAAGGGTAGGTCGGTGCTGGTGTCTGGAATAGAGGTAGGTCGGTGGAGCTGGCTGGAGCAAGGGTAGGTCGGTGCTGGTGTCTGGAATAAAGGTAGGTCGGTGGAGCTGGCTGGAGCAAGGGTAGGTCGGTGGAGCTGGCTGGAGCAGGGGGAGGCACAAGCACACTCCACAAGCTGTTTAGCTGACGTGTAATGAGCAGGGTGCATCTCAGAAGAAAAGTGACTTTTATAAATGTTTGTGCATGTTTGTGGATGTTTGTTTTGTAGTTGTTGATACATTAGATATAGCCTTTTTCATGAAAGACATTATCTTTACTTCAGCTCACATTAAAACCCCTTAAAAACCCCTCATGGTTTCATTGACAGTGTTAACTTGAGTGATGATAACAGCTGGTAGATGGGCTGCAACAGTGATTATATTGTCTTAAGAATGAATGTTAAATCCAACATCAATTTGATAGTCATACAATTGTAATTATCTTGTTAAATTAAATTATACCTAAATTATATTGTCCCACAATATAGAGACAAATATCTTTCAGTTTTTACTGAAGTACACTGTGCTACAAAACATGTCACTATTACTTTTGTGACATGACCCTCCTGGTGTATATCACTACCTATATCCTGGTATATATATCTCTTTAATTCCCAGGGTGAAGTCACTATAACCCTTGTTTTGTCACATGACCATCACAGTGTATATCACTAGATATATCCTGGTCTACATATATCTGTAATTCCCCAGGGAGAACCAGGCGAGCGGGGTCCTCCAGGACCTCCAGGTGATGCCGGACCACCAGGACTACCAGGATACGACGGGATTGTTGGACCCCCAGGACCAGCGGTGAGTGGCTTGATGGACCCTTCTGCATCCTGAAACTCATGTGAAAGTAAATGTCTTGTAATACAAGTGATCAGGGTCCCGTGCACAAAGCAATCTTAGCGCTACGACTGCTGTACGCCTATGGTAAAGTATGGGAGTTATAATCACCTTAGCGCTAAAATAACCCGTGAAGATCCGGGGTAGAATAGGTCTTCAGCAACCCATGTTTGCCATAAAAGACGACTATGCTTGTCGTAAGAGGCGACTAATGGGATCATTTGGTCAGACTCACTGACTTGATTATTTATGTAACGTGGGAATTCAGTACAGAAGAGTGAATGGTTTCATCGAAGAGTATTTATTGGCGTTCCATGAAGTCAAACATGATGAAAAACAAGGAATGACAAAGTTGTGGCTTCGTATGTGTAGCGCTCTAAAAATGTTGAGTACCTCGCACTTTGACAAGCATGGCGACTATGGCGCGAAATCTATGAAACAAGTGCACCATGGGAAAAGTTTAAAGCTTTGCGTACTTTTATCCAATTTAATAGTTACGATGTGTCAGAATTCTTACAGGTACATTTTATCATATTTGAACAGTTTATTAATAAATTTTAACAGCAAATGTAACTCTAAAACATTTAAAATTTGTGAGTACTTCCGGAAGTTACCGACTATTTACGGCAAGGATTTTATGTGCGCAATACCTCTTCACATTTACAGACCGCTGTCATACAGCTAGAATATTACTGAGTTCAGCGTTAAACAACAAAAAAGCTTTGTGCAAAGGGGCGCAGGATGTGGGATGTTTAACCATGACAAATTTGTCATCATTCTTACCAAACCTCCCATATGTCACCACATAGAGTTTCTGGTATCCAACACCGACAGTGTAACAAAGGGGTTGTAGTATACAGGGGGTTGAAGATCTCACATGTTGTTTTCCAGCTTGTTCAGGTTCCACTGGTGATGTTAAAGATGTTTTCCTCATCAGGAAATAATTGCTATCAACAACAATGATAATATTTCTTATACTACAATGTAATTTTTTCTACTGCAATGTAAAACTACAGCCTGTTTATATTCATTATAGTCATTCCAAATTAAACAACAGTACAAGTTAGTTATGGACATCCTGTATTGCATTATGGGAAGTTTCATTGAAGCAGTGACGCATCACCAGACTGATCTGTACTGCTCTTTGTGTGTTGACCTGACTGTGTGTTGACCTGACTGTGTGTTGAGCTGACTGTGTGTTGACCTGACTGTGTGTCGAGCTGATTGTGTGTTGATCTGGCTGTGTGTTGGTGTGTTCACCTGATTATGTGTTCTCCTGATTGTGCTCACCTGATTGTGTTGACCTGACAATGTGAGTGGACCTGATTTTGTTGACCTGATTGTATGTAGACCTGACTGTGTGTTGGTGTGTTGACCTGACAATGTGTGAGTTGATCTGACAATGTGTGAGTTGACCTGGCAATGTGTAAGTTGACTTGACTGTGTGAGTTGACCTATGTGTGTGAGTTGACCTGGCTGTGTGATGACCTGACTTTGTGTTGACTTGATTGTGTGTTGGTGTCTTGACCTGACAATGTGTGAGTTGACCTGATTTTGTGTTGACTTGTGTGTTGACCTTACTGTATGTTGACCTGACAATGTGTAAGTTGACACGATTGTGTGTTGACCTGATTGTGTGTTGACCTGACAATATGTGAGTTGACCTGATTGTGTGTTGACCTGACTGTGTATGAGTTGACCTGACAATGTGTGAGTTGACCTGATTGTGTGTAGGTTGACCTGACTGTGTGTTGACCTGATTGTGTGTAGGTTGACCTGACTGTGTGTTTACCTGATTGTGTGTGAGTTGACCTGACTGTGTGTGAGTTGACCTGACTGTGTGTGAGTTGACCTGACTGTGTGAGTTGACCTGACAATGTGTGTTTCAGGGCCCGCCAGGACCAGTAGGACCACCAGTGAGTATATCTTCCTCCCGTTCTCACGGACACCCCACATACCCTAACAAACATCAACACTTTAAAGTGATGGCTGGGTAGCCCACATGTTGGTGTGCTGGCCTATCATGCAGATAGTCCAAGTTTGATTCTGTGTACTATTCATGACAATAGTACTTGAAGTGTGTTACATGCCCCAAAATGCCACAAGCCCCAAATTCATCATATTCTCAACAAGACAATGTGAGCATGAGAGGTCTAGATATCAAGTATTTCTGTATTTAGTTGTTGGGAGTGTATGACCCGGCAGTCCAAACAATCAGCTTTGTGTGCAGTCATTGTGTTGCTACTTGTGCTTCTATATGTTGCTAGCTATGTGTAGCCATGTATTGCTGTGGTTGTCCATACATTCCCGGGGTAGACGCTTCTACCAAGATACACACCCAGGGTAGACGCTTCATCTACCAAGATACACACCCTGGGTAGACTCTTCATCTACCATGATACACACCCTGGGTAGATGCTTCATCTACCAAGATAGACACCCTGGGTAGACTCTTCATCTACCAAGATACACACCCAGGGTAGACTCTTCATCTACCAAGATACACACCCAGGGTAGACTCTTCATCTACCAAGATACACACCCTGGGTAGACTCTTCATCAACCAAGATACGCACCCAGGGTAGACGCTTCACCTACCAAGATACACACCCTGGGTAGACTCTTCATCTACCAAGATACACACCCAGGGTAGACTCTTCATCTACCAAGATACACACCCAGGGTAGACTCTTCATCTACCAAGATACACACCCTGGGTAGACTCTTCAACTACCAAGATACACACCCTGGGTAGACTCTTCATCTACCAAGATACACACCCTGGGTAGACTTTTCATCTACCAAGATACACACCCAGGGTAGACGCTTCACCTACCAAGATACACCCCCTGGGTAGACGCTTCATCTACCAAGATACACACCCAGGGTAGACGCTTCATCTACCAAGATACACACCCAGCGTAGACGCTTCATCTACCAAGATACACACCCTGGGTAGACGCTTCATCTACCAAGATACACACTCAGGGTAGACACTTCATCTACCAAGATACACACCCAGGGTAGACGCTTCATCTACCAAGATAGACACCCTGGGTAGACGCTTCATCTACCAAGATACACACCCTGGGTAGACGCTTCATCTACCAAGATACACACTCAGGGTAGACACTTCATCTACCAAGATACACACCCTGGGTAGACTCTTCATCTACCAAGATACACACCCTGGGTAGACTCTTCATCTACCAAGATACACATCCAGGGTAGACACTTCATCTACCAAGATACACACCCCGGGTAGATGCTTCATCTACCAAGATACACACCCAGGGTAGACGCTTCATCTACCAAGATACACACCCAGGGTAGATGCTTCATCTACCAAGATACACACCCAGGGTAGACACTTCATCTACCAAGATACACACCCAGGGTAGACTCTTCATCTACCAAGATACACACCCTGGGTAGATGCTTCATCTACCAAGATACACACCCAGGGTAGATGCTTCATCTACCAAGATACACACCCTGGGTAGACGCTTTATCTACCATGATACGCACCAAGGGTAGACTCTTCATCTACCAAAATACACACCCTGGGTAGACTCTTCATCTACCAAGATACACACCCTGGGTAGATGCTTCATCTACCAAGATACACACCCTGGGTAGACTCTTCATCTACCATGATACACACCCAGGGTAGACTCTTCATCTACCAAGATACACATCCAGGGTAGTCGCTTCATCTACCAAGATACAAACCCCGGGTAGACTCTTCATCTACCAAGATACACACCCAGGGTAGACTCTTCATCTACCAAGATACACACCCTGGGTAGACTCTTCATCTACCAAGATACACACCCTGGGTAGACTCTTCATCTACCAAGATACGCACCCAGGGTAGACGCTTCATCTACCAAGATACACACCCTGGGTAGACTCTTCATCTACCAAGATACACACCCTGGGTAGACTCTTCATCTACCAAGATACACACCCAGGGTAGACTCTTCATCTACCAAGATACACACCCAGGGTAGACACATCTCTGCCCAGCCACAGTTGCCTGTGTAGCAGCTATCAAGTGGGCGTCTAAGTGTGGGTTGGGTTCCCGTGTTGTGAGGAGTCTGATGTTAGCTGCATGCCCTTGTCACAGAGTCTGCAGCTGGCACTTCATGTCCATACTTGCATGTTTTCTTCAGGGCTTAGCAGGAAAAGATGGCATGCCAGGAGAACCGGTAAGTACTATCCATATTTCTGTTAGCGCTTGGCAGCCTGTCAAACAACCGATGCTCCAATACACCCGGAGAACAAACCAGAAACGACTGTTCTCTCACTTAGTTTGGTTTGGCTTGAGACAACTTACTGTCATGTTCTGAACAGTTGATTATTATAGTGAGTAAGGAACTGTGTAGGTTACTATGGAGCACGGCTCTAGGCTGTACAACAGTGGGATAGCTCACCCTCATGCTCAGGCCTGTCTCAGTCTGCGGAAAAATATTGCAAAGGTAGATTTCCAACTGACCATTAAGTGACGAAACCCCAAGTTTTCTGCCTCTTTCATGTGAGTTGATCCTCCCATGTCTTATAAGGGGAAAGGACATCTGACTATCTTAAGTTTTACTTTATAGCCCCTCCTTGATAAAACCGTGAGATAGCTCAATATCAGAATTCAATCAGTTGGCAAAATGTAGGATAATTTTCATGTTCAATATACCTTGTAAGCTTTTGTGTGTGTCTTGTCCAATTGTTGATGGCTATGTTTGCTTGTGCGCTGCCCAGAGCAACTTCTGATGTTCTCACGCGGTATGTCATTGATCAGCCCAGTGCAACCAATCAGTGCCCAAGCGGCATGCTGTGGGTCAAAGGTTTCCCATCATGCCCTTGTTTGTTATGGAGGACATACCCTGTAAACAAATTATATTGATTATTTCTGTATCCGCAATGTCTGTACCCTGCTTATTGGAATCTCTCACTGCAGTCAGAAACTATCCTCCATCTTGTACTACTCACCCGAAGACTATATTCCATCTTGTACTACTGTCCTGACAACTATCAGTTGTAATGTAATCAAGAAGTTGGGATGACATTTTGACTGCACTGAGGTTGGCCATGCTTGTGCACACGACTTTATAACAGTCATAATTTGCCAGATAATTGCGTAATATTTTCCAAACATTTGAAAAAAACATGAACTGGAGAACAATTTTAACCAGATGGCATGGTCATGGGTTTGAAATTTGTGTTCTCCATTAAATCTGGGGAATAAAAATCTAAATTTTCTGGGTCTGTATTTTATGAAAAGTTTGAAGATCAAAACAATTGTCAGATCCAGCAAATGTAAGATCATGGAGGTTATGAGAAACACAACATATGGTTCTGTGGCCTAGGACCAAACTAGTCGTGAACACAAGCTGCATTCTCCCTATTATGAGCACCGCTGCTATTTGATACACATTGTATTCCACCCTGCTTGGCACTGTCTCTTGTCATGTACTAATACAGGGTGAGAAAGGGGAGATAGGCCGCCCGGGGATGCCCGGACGCTTAGGGTCCAAAGGCGCGAAGGGAGAGTTGGGCAAGCCAGGACTGACCAAGTTCAATGGACAGCCGGGTCCCCAGGGGATACAGGGGCCCAAGGGAGACTTAGGTCCGGCAGGACCCCAAGTGAGTGGTTGCATGTGTCGCTGCACTGTGACCTGCTGCCGTATAGCATGAGAGTGTCGATACTGCATGGGACTGTTGCTGTATAACACAGGGGATATAAACAGGTGCATGTAGAAGGGCAGATTCTTTCACTGGATATACAGAAAAGTAACGGACAAGTGTCATCACTTGTGAATAAAACTTGTTTTACTGTAGAATTTGTTCAGAATTTAATATTAGGAAAGAACCTGAGAAAGTGCTGTTTGCTTATTGATATAGTTTTCGTTTGGTTTTTTTTCGGGGTTTCTTCTTCAAGAATTTCAAGAGATTTTAGAAATTATCTTTGAGACAACACTTACATCAATTCCCTTTAAACAATCTCTGGTATCTCTATCACGAAAATCTGTGAAATGTGTAATGAAATCGGTCTGCCATATACCCTTAATATTAATTGGTTCTCACCAACATTTTGCCTCCAGGTTTCTTGTTAGATATGACAGGTCAACAGTGAACAATTAGTCATTCGTGTTTTTCAATCTCAAACCATCTCACAGGTGCCCTTCAGCCAGATTCTTGTGTGGCTGCGTAGCTCCCACTTCTCCCACTTCCCCCAACTTATCTCGGTTAACTCGTCTTATCTCGGTTAACTCGTCTTATCTCGGTTAACTCGTCTTATCTCTGTTAACATGCATGTGCCAGCAACGTTGACAACCAAGGTCATCTTTCTCCCCTCGAATTAACACTGTCCCCCAATCCTGTCTCACAGTATCATACACAACAGCTTAGGTAGACACAATCACTGCGAGTCTTAGACACATTCACTTCTTCTTTGGAATGTTCACATACTTGTCACTGAGAGCCTCACTGTCACCTGATTTATGTGTGTAGCACACTACACAAGGAGGTGGCCCAAGGTGCTACACCTCACCTCACAAACAAGCAATTGTACGGATGACAACATGCAGATACTTGCACCTTTATCATACTGTCTGCACAACAAATATTGCAACACTGTAAGAAGTTGTCATCCATACAATATTGACTGTAACACTGCAACACTGTAAGAAGTTGTCATCCATACAATATTGCCTGTAACATTGCAACACTGTAAGAAGTTGTCATCCATAAAATATTGCCTGTAACATTGCAACACTGTAAGAAGTTTTCATCCATACAATATTGCCTGTAACATTGCAACACTGTAAGAAGTTGTCATCCATACAATATTGCCTGTAACACTGCAACACTGTAAGAAGTTGTCATCCATACAATATTGCCTGTAACATTGCAACACTGTAAGAAGTTGTCATCCATAAAATATTGCCTGTAACATTGCAACAGTGTAAGAAGTTTTCATCCATACAATATTGCCTGTAACATTGCAACACTGTAAGAAGTTGTCATCCATACAATATTGCCTGTAACATTGCAACACTGTAAGAAGTTGTCATCCATAAAATATTGCCTGTAACATTGCAACACTGTAAGAAGTTGTCATCCATAAAATATTGACTGTAACATTGCAACACTGTAAGAAGTTGTCATCCATACAATATTGCCTGTAACATTGCAACACTGTAAGAAGTTGTCATCCATGCAATATTGCCTGTAACATTGCAACACTGTAAGAAGTTGTCATCCATACAATATTGCCTGTAACATTGCAACACTGTAAGAAGTTGTCATCCATACAATATTGCCTGTAACATTGCAACACTGTAAGAAGTTGTCATCCATACAATATTGCCTGTAACATTGCAACACTGTAAGAAGTTGTCATCCATACAATATTGCCTGTAACATTGCAACACTGTAAGAAGTTGTCATCCATACAATATTGCCTGTAACATTGCAACACTGTAAGAAGTTGTCATCCATACAATATTGCCTGTAACATTGCAACACTGTAAGAAGTTGTCATCCATACAATATTGCCTGTAACATTGCAACACTGTAAGAAGTTGTCATCCATAAAATATTGCCTGTAACATTGCAACAGTGTAAGAAGTTTTCATCCATACAATATTGCCTGTAACATTGCAACACTGTAAGAAGTTGTCATCCATACAATATTGCCTGTAACATTGCAACACTGTAAGAAGTTGTCATCCATACAATATTGCCTGTAACATTGCAACACTGTAAGAAGTTGTCATCCATAAAATATTGCCTGTAACATTGCAACACTGTAAGAAGTTGTCATCCATAAAATATTGACTGTAACATTGCAACACTGTAAGAAGTTGTCATCCATACAATATTGCCTGTAACATTGCAACACTGTAAGAAGTTGTCATCCATACAATATTGCCTGTAACATTGCAACACTGTAAGAAGTTGTCATCCATACAATATTGCCTGTAACATTGCAACACTGTAAGAAGTTGTCATCCATACAATATTGCCTGTAACATTGCAACACTGTAAGAAGTTGTCATCTATACAATATTGACTGTTTTTTCCTTATTTAACTTCTACAATGTGAATATTTAGAAACTATAGGTTTATAGGTTCATGTTTGCATCATTCATGACCTTTATCAAACACATCCCAGATTGTGTATTACTGTGAATGAGTGAGTGAGAAACTCCTCCATTCCTCCATTTAACACTTTCTTTTTTATCCTTCAACTAACCCTCTTTGCCTTTATTCATTTTATCACCTGGTTTACTGATCCCCAAACTCAAATTTTCTGGTTTCTGGAAAGACAATATTCAGTATAATGTTCAACCACCATGGACAGTTGTTAGGAAACATCTGTAAACCAAGTAATACCAGGAAATGCCTGCTGATAGCTGACAGGGCTGCAACTGATGCTGGAACAACTAATCCTGCTGCTATCCATACGTGTATCATGTTCTGTCATTTCCTATACTGACACTAATGTCTTCACTACCTGAAGTCCTTAGCAGGTCGAACTTGACTGCATGCGTTGACGATGTTGCGTTGACGATGTTACTAACATGTTGTGTTGCAGGGGAAGCGAGGACATAAGGGTGAACGTGGGGGTGGGTATGATCCAGACGGAAGCTTTCCCGCTGGCTTCATCCTTGGCCCCCCCGGTCCCCCTGGACCCCCGGGCCAGACGGTGAGCGCCATGTTGCCCAGCAACCCACTCCCCAGCGCTGCTGTAGTTTAATCTTGGCTACTGACCGGCACCGTGAATGCAGCTCTCACCAGCTCTTGCATGCATGCATAATCGTTGTTCTGTTTTATGTTTGCTTCATGGCCCTTTTTTATTTCATCATTGTTTTCTCCTCATAACCAGCCCATGTAATCTGCACAATGTCCTTGACCTTTCCCATGTCATGACCTCCTCCACAATGTCATGGACTCCTTTGATGAAACCTGGAGATCCTCCAGAATCTCTTCCAGGCCCAGAGTTGCCGGCTTCACTGGTTCACAAGCCGCTCATTCATTGTGAACACTGCTTTTGTTGTAACACCTTTATGAAATATATGACAAACTGAACTTTACAAACATAAGGATCAGTCTGTCACGTCCACATGCTACTTTGCTGCAGTCACAAACCATCAACAGAAACCAAATATATTGTTCCAAAAAAGTAAATTATAATATTTGTTAATACTGTTTCAAAACATCCCATCCTTGGCTCTCTCTCCCCAAGTTGTGACCTCCTTTGGTCACTACACGACTGTTTTCCGTCACTGCTGACTGCAGCAAGGGGGATCATGGGTAATGACTGCAGCAAATGTAGGTCAGCAAGGGCTAGGTCATGCAGCTCCAGATCTCAATTGTGGTTACCACGGAAACATGCAGAAACTAGTATGAAACTAATCTTGATCCTGTGAGTTATCTCCCCTTGCTTCATCAGTTCCCATGATTCCACACACATAGAGAGCTGGTTGGAGCCATGCCTGACCGCCTTCGTTGTTAGACAGGAAATATGATTGATTTGTCAGGCCTACATGTTGTCAGCTTGAAGTTCATTTGTTTGTTTTTGAAAACATGGGGGGGGGGGATGTTTGAGTAAAGATGTAGTGTAAATAAGAACTGTATTGGGACAGCATGGAGGCTGACATGTTGTTGGGAGAACGTTTACTAATGGTTGCTCCTCAATCATCAAGAGAGGACGAACATGCCGCATGGAGGTGAAGAAAAAAAGTGGACGCAACCGCAGAGAGCGATTGTCAAAAACTCACAAAGCGGGCAAGAATGGCAGCTCGAAGTTATCTCCATTGAAAGAAAAAAAGAAAAGCAAACGTAATCGCAAACCCCGCCACTTAGCCGACAAAGAGGTACCCTCATGTAGATTAGCTGAGTAGAGTTATGTAACCTAACATTTGCTGCAGTTACGGGTGAGGGATCGGTAACACTGTCATCCTAGGCCTCCATATATGGTCAAATAATCGCTTCCACGGTTCTCTGCTCTTGTACCTACAGTAACAAGGCCTTGGACGTCAGCTTCTTGATGTGATGTGAGCGTTGTTTCGTTTACACTGCGCAAGTTTATCAATTGGTTGACGGCCATACTCATGTTTTCATATACTCCATTTTAGGTGAAAACATGAACCACGTGCTAACATTGCTTACCCCAAAATATGCAGTGACTCGTGCATCTGTACTAAAGGATTCATGAAGTTGACGAAGCACTTATTTACTAGGTTCCCATGATTGGCTCTATGATACAGTGGGAGAATGCCCGGGCATCAACCAAGTCAATTGCAGAATGGTTTTTGAAATATTTCCTAAATCCTAAATTTAGGTTCATCATGGTGTAACTGTCTGGTGTTGAATGACACATGACTGTGTTGTGTCAATCTCATTAAAATCAGATCTTAGTTCTGGCTACAGCTAAACAAAGATCTGAGGACATCCCATTACGGGCCATGTCAGACTGACCTTGTGCAAACTTTGACTGACCAATGGAATGACCAATCAGAAGGCAGCTTTCTCGTGCTTTACGGAACTAATTTCAAATTGGCTTCGAAACATATTTTGACAAATTCTCGATTACAAATTTAATACCTGAACAAGAGAACATTCTGGAATGGCTAAAAGATGGTCTAGATTGTATGAATTCTGTCGTTAAACCCTTAACTTGTTCGGAGTTAAAGTTTTTGAGGTTGCATGATTAGAAGTCACATTCCGATTGTCACTTTCATAATCTGGTAGGCGATGCTCTGATTAGTCGGATGAAAGGTCGTTCTGACGTGACACCTAATGGGATGTCCTCAGATATTTGTTTTGCGGTAGCGAGAACTGAGGTCTGATTTTGATGAGATTGGTGTTGTGTTGAATGACACATGTCTGTGTTGTGTTGAATGACACATGACTGTTGTGTTGAAGGACACATGCACTGTGTTGTGTTGAATGACACATGACTGTTGTGTTGAATGAGACATGCACTGTGTTGTTCTGAATGACACATGACTGTTGTGTTGAATGACACATGCACTGTGTTGTGTTGAATGACTGTTGTGTTGAATGACACATGACTGTGTTGTGTTGAAGGAAACATGCACTGTGTTGTGTTGAATGGCACATGACTGTTGTGTTGAATGACACATGCACTGTGTTGTGTTGAATGACTGTTGTGTTGAATGACACATGACTGTGTTGTGTTGAATGACACATGACTTGTGTTGAATGACACATGACTGTTGTGTTGAATGACACATGCACTGTGTTGTGTTGAATGACACATGACTGTTGTGTTGAATGACACATGTCTGTGTTGTGTTGAATGTGTTGAATGACACATGCACTGTTGTGTTGAATGACACATCACTGTTGTGTTGAATGACACATGACTGTGTTGTGTTGAAGGACACATGCACTGTGTTGTGTTGAATGACACATGACTGTTGTGTTGAAGGACATGTGCACTGTGCTGTGTTGAATGACATGTGCACTGTGTTGTGTTGACCAAAAGAAACAAAAGCTACATTAGTGATACAAATGTTGTAAGAGTGTCAGAGCGTGGGAGTTGTAGGACTTGGATAATTTCTGCAATGGTACCCTGGGCCCAGTCTTGATTGTGACAAATAAATCAACTCATAAATTTACAGCAGGCCATGAGGACAATACCAATCTGAGACTACAGGCCCAACACAAGATCTACCTGCCTCGGGCCTACAGGCAGGCGTTAATTTTTAGCAGTGACTAGGGACCCACCTTTTGTATTTGATGGTTTACATACTTTAGCTCACCAATTAACTGTGGTCAAAAAAATAAAAATTAATTTGTGTATTTCAGTATATTTATTTTATGTTTAATTTATATAGAGAGCATGAAGCTGTTTGGGTCACTTTATCTTGAAAACTGGTTTTACCATGTTTACTCCTGAGAAAGCTTTGTATGGTCAGAGACTGCACTCAATGTATTTCATAAATATCTTAAAAATTAAACCACAAAAAAATATTTTTTTCAAAATTGTATTAAATGTTTAAAGTTATTAGTTGTATCAATGTATTTTTCTAATCCATCAAAGACATGTTGTTTGCATCATTTTGGTCAAAGCTATAAACCCAACATTTAAAAAGTGTGGCCATTAGCTTGCCAGCTTGCCACTTCTCCATAACCTAACACCTTCTTTGTAGAGACCAAGGCAGTGTCACAGTTTATTTCAGGTGCTACCGACTAGCGTCCTCACACCCTGCCTCCATGTACTGGCTAAACGTTAGCTGCCATGTCCGCTCTGACATGCAGCTGGAACATCGCTATGGTGGAAGATTTAACAGTGTAGAAGCTGATATAACAGAGAGGGGAATTATTTCACAGAATCACAGGACAGGTACACATTCTATAGACGTTACGTCACAAATGATGTCATAACATCACTCATTTGTTGGTGAAGCTGTTTTAGCTGTCAACTGTCACTTTGTGGTCTTGGGGATGTATTCTGCCTTTACATGGCGAGATCTTTTACTGTACTCATGGATGCTAATATTGTATTAAGTGTCCTTGCTGTGCATCACACTAAGTATGGGGATGAAGTTTTTGCTGCTGCACTGCTGCACTGCTGCTGCTGCTGCTGCTGCTGATGATGATGATGATGATGATGATTTGCAAGTCCCTCGTCTCAGCTGTGATGCCATGAAATAATTCCCTTCTCTCTGCTCATCTGTACGAGTCATCCATTACGACATGTTCCAACAAATGTACATACTCTAATTCCTGCTACCAGATTGTACTTTCATAATTAACAAATTATTACTACGACCAGAATGTCTGTACCTTAATTACTATACACACTGTAATCTGATAACTTATGTATTCTTACGTAACCATGGTAACATGTCCAGTATATCATTCACAATGTAAAAATGTTTATGTAATTATTTACGTAAATTTAATTATTTTAAGCCTACTTTTTCTCATAACAGAATGCAGATAATGGTTGTTAAAGTTCAGCACTAAATTTGCCTAAGTTTTGCCTGTGTATTTGTGTACTAATGTTGTATGGTGCATGGTTCTGTATCTTTCAGACAGGTGCAGCAACGTCATCATCTCCATGGATGCCACCACCAGCTACATAGACTGTAAGGAGACGCTATGTCTCATCATCCTCCCTATTGCAGGGTCTTTATGACAAACCAACTCAGCAGTTCCTCATTGTATCATCGATATTACCCTTTTAGTGAATACTACAAGGAGGACTGCCTGCATGTTTGAGACAAGTTTACCACTGAGGTGTCCACAGTAGTTTGTGTTAAAGTGAAGTGGTTGATGATGTGTGTTCTCTCCCTAGGGTCAGATCGGTCTTCCAGGCGCCCCAGGCCCCCTCGGGGCAAAAGGGGATAGGGGAAAGCGGGGGAAACGGGTAAATACCACCTCTGTCTGCACGTGTCGTGTAGGTGTGCATGCCTCACTTCTCTCTTCAGTTGCATGTCATCCATCTTGGAGGTGCGCCTCTTCGTCTACAAACTGTGTGTGTCTTCGTAGTGTCAGCATGATGCAACACGGTAGCTCACATACTGCTCCAGGCTCGAAGTATCGCTGTAGGTTATCTCACTTCAAAGTATCAATATCACATGTTAGTCATATTGCTATTAAGCTTCATATCTCTATAAGTATTGATATCCATATAACGTTACATCTCCCATATCACTATCAGATATAAGCAATATTGTTATTGTGTACCCATATCTCCATGAAGTATCCATATCACTATTAGATATAAGCAATATTGTTATTATGTACCCATATCTCCGTGAAGTATCCATATCACTATTAGATATAAGCAATATTGTTATTGTGTACCCATATCTCCATCGATGTCACTGTAGCTTAATTTCCATATAACATCAAAGTTCCAGATCTTTATTAAATATACATATTGCTATTTTGTAAACAGATCACTTTTAAGTATATATAAAACACTGTTGGTCACAACTCTAAAGTAGCCATGGCTATAAACAATACACTCCACTTAGAGATTGCTAGAAAGTAAACAGATTGCCAAAAAAGCATCTATATCTCTATACATCATTCATACTGCTGTAGAATATCCCTTCTGCTGGTAGCCATATGATAAGAAAGCATAAACATTGCCATGAAGTATCTATGGTTACAGAGTATCGATATTGATAGAAAGGAGTCCTAATCCAGTCAGTTCTTAAATCATTATTAAGAATAGTGATGTCAGTGCAGCTATTCATTGAGCAGACTCCTGCTTAAAACTGTTTGTAGGGATGCACTGGTCCAGTATTCCATTGATGCTGATGGTCACTGATGGGAGCTGGGATAAAACACTCCATAATAGCCACCATCATGGATGTATTGAGGCAGATTACAATATAGATTGTAGAAAATTAATTATTGACTAGCAGTATTGATAATATTTACCAAATAATAAACAAATATATATAAGTCTATTTGAGAAGGATCTTTACCCAGCTACTTTTAGATCTCTGTTTTATGAGAGTTCCCTTCCTCAACTGTAATCTTATTCTCCATCTCCATCCCTGCTGGTGTATACGCCTCGTATCTTCATCTGCGTTCTTTGTGACATAAACACATTAATCATTGTTAGGTCATACAGTGGGCTATGCACCTACCCTGGTATATGGGTTGTTCAATATGTCTGTCTTTAATCAGCATGATCTGGGTAACTTACCAGGTACAATGTCTTGTTACTAACAAGGAATGAAGTTGATGATGTTGATAGATAGGCTGTTAGAGGTGTGATGTGGATCATTATATTCTAGGCTAGCTCCTGCAGCTGATAGTAAATGCATCATCACATTACCATTGGTGCCATTACAACTAGACCATTGGTTCCAGTACATTGAGACCATTGGAGCCAGGACATCTAGATCATTGGTGCCAGAACATTTAGACAAAATGTGCCAGTACATTTAGACCATTGGAGCTGGGACATCCAGATCATTGGTGCCGGAACATTTAGACCATTGGTGCCAGGACATCTAGATCATTGGTGCTATTCACCTAGACCATTGGTGCCAGTACATTTAGACTGTTGGTGCCAGGACATGTAGGCTATTGGTGCCCTGACATCAAGATCAACTAGATCATTGGTGCCATTACAACTAGATCATTGGTGCCAGTTTGTCTAGGCCGCTAGTGCCAGTATATCTAGATCATTGATGCCAGTATATCTAGACCATTGGTGCCAGTACATCTAGATCATTGATGCCAGTACATACTAGATCATTGGTGCCAGTACATACTAGATCATTGGTGCTATTACAACTAGACCATTGGTGCCAGTACATGCTAGATCATTGTGCCAGTACATACTAGACCAATGATGCCAGGACATCTAGATCATTGGTGCCAGTACATATTGACGATTTGTGTCATTCATCCAGGCCATTGATGCCAGTACGTTTAGACCATTGGTGGCGTACATCCAGGCCATTTGTGCCATTACAATAAGACCATTGGTGCCAGTACATTTAGACCATTGGTGTCATTCATTCAGGCCATTGGTGCCAGGACATCTAGACCATTGGTGCCAGTACATTTAGACCATTGTGCCAGTACATCTAGACCATTGGTGCCAGTACATTTAGACCATTGGTGCCAGAACATCTAGACCATTGGTGTCATTCATCCAGGCCATTGGTGCCAGGACATCCAGGCCATTGGTGCCAGTACAATTAGACCATTGGTGCCAGTACATCTAGACCATTGGTGCCAGAACATCTAGACCATTGGTGTCATTCATCCAGGCCACTGGTGCCAGGACATCTAGACAATTGGTGGTTTTTATATTCGACTATTGGTGCCAGTACATCTAGGCCGTTGGTGCAAGTACTAACAGTGCTGAGTATGTTACCACAGTGGACATGTTGTATAAATCATATAACAGCATGGGGACATGAATCAGCATGACTGGTGTCTGCAGGGTGGTGAAGTAGTAACTCATATAGCACTGATAGTCCATGTAAATACTCACTGAAGACAAGGCTGACTTAGAGAATGTTGGTGTTCTTGCATGGTAGAACCGTATTGATTCACGCAAGTTTTACAAACATTCCATTTTATCAGTCAAAAACTTATTGTACTGGAACTATAAAGTAACTGAAGTTGATCTGAGAACAGAATAGAAAGATAACAATAGCAATCATGTACGATATTGATAACAGTGTAAAAGAAATAACACTTGCTGCCAACAAGCTTTTTTTCCCTATCTTCCGACTATGCACTGTCGCCCTGCTATGGTGGTCACCTCATTGTTGATGTGTTGTGTGTGTGTTGCTCCTCCAGGGCAGGAGGGGACATCGAGGGGAGAAGGGCATGCTGGGAAGGTTTGGCTTCCCCGGCCCCCAGGGGCCACCGGGTGACCTTGGCCCCCAGGGTGAGAAGGGCTCATTCGGTCTCCCAGGGCAACAGGTAGGTATTGTTACATTGTGTTGCATGATGCTGGTCCAACCTCCTCTCCTCCATCCGCCACTCTGCTGTATCAACTGTTTTGTTTAGTTGCCATTGGGTCAGACCAAGAACCCCTAGGTTACTTGTTCCTCTGTTTTAGGCACTGCACTAATCAGTGTCAAACTATGTTGTCATGGCGACCACATTGATGTCCTCTGCATGCTCTCTGTCGGTTCAACTTGTGTCAACTCTTGTGTCTTCTATGAATTCCTTCACCTCTGATCAAGTAGTTTGTAGACTGCGATGTACCAGGTACATGAAGATATTGATGAAGTGTGTAAGTAACCAGTGAAGCATGTCCTATATACGACAGGTTCTTGTTCTGTAGCCTGCTGGTGGTAGATTACTGGAGGTTAGAGAGGGACAATGGAGCTGTCTTATGCGTAGGAACTGTTCCTGCAATGTCAAAAAAAAACACGAAAATATTATCAGGACACTTTCAGAAAGATTGTGCAATGTCTTTAAATAAGATTGGTCATTAGTCTTTAAGTATTTGGATTGCCAAAAATTCCCAAATGTGAAATGATTTGTCTTTCTCTCATTTTTCACTGACTAAAACCAATGTTTCTTATATTTCATTTCGGGCACCATTGATGATTTGCACTAAATATCAGGAAACCAATTTTATAAATGCCCGAATTCTGACTAGTGGCTTTTGTGAAAATGATAGCATAAATGACTGGAAATCAGCACTGCTTTAACTGAAGTCCTTCAGCATGAAGCTCCTCCTCTCTCAATGTCCATCAGTCTCTAGTTGAATCCTAGATTGTCTCAATCAGCTCCTGGCCATGATGAACACCTCTCATCTTATCAACCATTAACATGGCTAGTGTGACTTCCATGAAGAGGTCTGACCTCAGCCAGCAATAACCTGGTGGCTTGTATTGTCCCTGAACACTTCTGAGCAGTAACGTTGATTGTTCATGTACCAGAGCAGTAACGTTGATTGTTCATGTACCAGAGCAGTAACGTTGATTGTTCATGTACCAGAGCAGTAACGTTGATTGTTCATGTACCAGAGCAGTAACGTTGATTGTTCATGTACCAGAGCAGTAACATTGATTGTCCATGGAACAGGGAGTAAGAGGAGATGCTGGGATGCCAGGGCGGAACGGAATCGATGGCGGAAAGGGAATCGTTGGCCCACCTGTGAGTTGTACCGGTCATGTTGAATTTTGTAACCTGTCACGTCAGTGTTCATGGATATTTGTTTGTACTGCAGGAGGCCAAAAGTCCAATACTGTGTGTATATTGTGATGTGGAAATAAATTAAGTTTTGAAAAAGAAGTTAATTGATAGAAACAAGACATTCAATTAATCTCTTTTTCTGTATCAAACCTTTAAACCTCGATATATTAATTTTTCTTTTACTTCATCTTTAGGTTTTAGGTTGTTGCCCAAAATATAACAATATTGTAATGTGATTGGCATAGGAACATGACGTCATACCATGAGTCGTGTGATTCTACTGTAGTGTCAGGTCTCAGATACGGCCATGTATGAAGAAGCTGATGTGCATGCATCCACAGTACTTGTGTAGCGTAGTATAGATGCAGCTTGTAGCCCTTCTGTCTGTCATACCTAGCTATGTCACAGTGTTGCAAGATGTTATATGAGATTATACCACACAGTGTGTCACAGGTGTGTTGTAAGTGGTTATTATAAAGATTATACCACCCATCAGTGTGTCACTGTGAATGATTAGATTGTAAGACTCTCACTTCCTCATAACATTTTCCCCAAACCCCACTGCACCTACTAAGAACTGAGTGAGTTTGGTAGAACACCATTTGGACAGTATTTCCGTTATATCATGGTGTGTCAGCAGGATGTGGGAGGCAACACCTGATGGGGTCAAGGATCTTAATCAGCTGAATGTTTGGATTCAAACACAGGACCAGCAGATCCAGTAATCAAAGGGACACAACTCTTTCACATTCAGTGAAGCTGATCCTCAATGTCTTCCTTGGCAAATAGTGAGGTAGCTCAGTGGTTAAAGTATTCACTCTTCAAACTGAACGCCTATTTTCAATTCCGTGAAGATTCCGGGGTAGAATAGGTCTTCAGCAAGCCATGCTTGCCGTAAAAGGCAACTATGTTTGTCGTAAAAGGCGACTAACGGGATGGGGTGGTCAGGCTCGCTGACTTGGTTGATGATGCATGTCATCGATCCCAATTGCGTGGATAGATGCTCATGATATTAACCACTGGATTGTCTGGTCCAGACTCGATTATTTACAGACCACCGTCATATAGGTGGAATATTGCTGAGTGTGGCGTTAAACAACAAACAAACCAAACCAAATCAATTCCACACATGAGTACATTGCATCTCACCCATTTCCGGTGCTCCCGGTGTGAAATTGCTGGAGTATTGCTATTGTAACAGCTTAAAACTACTCAATCTTCAGTCAACATTAGGGAAACAGGTCAGAGATGGGGGTTCCATTGGAACCCTTGAGTCTTTACTCCTGATAATGTCTTGAATCTCAATTCCTGGAAGGTCTGCTTTCTTTTAAAGTTGTTACATTCGTATCCATAAGGCGTGGACAGCATCACATCATGTGATCAATTGGATACAGATGCAGATGCACCCAGATGTCAGGGGGCATAACTCTGTTTACTGTATACTTGACCAATAGTAATCAGACACATATACTTATAATCATTGCCGATGGAGATAACTGGATATATTAACCACTTCCTTGTTGTATCGCTAAGGCTCAGTTTGTTGTGTTTCTTGGAAGACTCATAATCCAAACAAGACGGTTTCCCTGTTTGGGGATGTTTATTATTGAGAGGATTGACATGAATGTTTGAAAAAAACAGATTATTCGAAATTTAGACTTGTCACATCTTGCAGCATAAAATGAAAAAATGTTATTCCAAATTTCCCTTGTTTACTATACAGTAGACCATTGTAGAAATGCTAGCAAATACTGGAAGATTATCTCCCTTGATCACTGGAGTCTCTTATAATCCATATCCCTACAGTGCTGCTACATTGCTACATTCCTACATTGCTTACTGGAGCATTGCAACAGTGTTAGATAACCAAGTGTTACATTGTTATGACACACTGACACAGTGTTACACTGTAACATCTCCTGTAACACTGTAACGGTGATGTACCGTGATGGCGCTGAGCTGGCACTGACCTGTTTGTCTGACTGGTGTAGGGGGAGCCGGGACTCAAGGGGGACCCTGGTGAGGAGGGACCTAACGGTTTACCTGGGATGATCGGACCACCTGGCCTGCCTGGCCCACCTGTAAGTTACATCACTGTATCTAGCATGGCTGTCTGCATGACACCCGACGTTGGGCAAAGTTTACAGTGAATACTGGACATAGGGAAACAATAACAAACATAACATATAAATTTGCATGGAGTTAGTAAATTCAGATGATACAAAGTGAGGAAAAAAATGTAAGGAAAATTCCAGATTTGTGGGGTGTAAATTCAGTTATTTAATAAGTTAAGTGTGCGAGAACATTAAAAATGATTACATTGCATGGAGTTAATGATATCACTTGCTGTTCATTATTGAAACCATAACCGAAGTTGCTTACATGGTAGAAAAGGTACTTGCCATCGATTGCTCTGCACAGAGCCTTTGACAATTAAAAGGCTGTCTAGTTTTGCTGTTAATCCTAGCCAATCAGTCGAGACATTGCTCGGTGCGGTGATGAGTTGTAAGGGTAAATACTAACCTGCATGAAGCATGGGGTCATTAGAAGTAAGTGCTCATATATAAACATGTGTGTATGCTTTGAAATACTTTAATTTAATATGTTTTTAACATGCCATGCCACCACCAAGGACACGGGTAAGATCGTAGCTCCCTTCCGGGACAGTGTTGTTTTCCCAGCTACTGCGCCTACATGGGCATGTGATTCTAACATCTCGGGGAAAGTATGTGACACAATGACAAATGCAGCAGCTTTGGAGAGATTATATCAGGGTGAATATACCGGGGGTGAGTCGCTGGGGTGGGGGGGGACAAGGGTCATTTCACCAATATATCAGGGTGAATATACTGGGGGTGGGGGGTTAAGGGTGGTGGAAGGGTCATTTGACCAATATATCAGGGTGAATATACCGGGGGTGGGGGGTTAGGGGTGGTGGAAGGGTCATTTGACCAATATATCAGGGTGAATATACCGGGGGTGGGGGGTTAGGGGTGGTGGAAGGGTCATTTGACCAATATATCAGGGTGAATATACTGGGGGTGGGGGGTTAGGGGTGGTGGAAGGGTCATTTCACCAATATATCAGGGTGAATATACTGGGGGTGGGGGGTTAGGGGTGGTGGAAGGGTCATTTGACCAATATATCAGGGTGAATATACTGGGGGTGGGGGGGTTAGGGGTGGTGGAAGGGTCATTTGACCAATATATCAGGGTGAATATACCGGGGGTGGGGGGTTAGGGGTGGTGGAAGGGTCATTTGACCAATATATCAGGGTGAATATACTGGGGGTGGGGGGTTAGGGGTGGTGGAAGGGTCATTTCACCAATATATCAGGGTGAATATACTGGGGGTGGGGGGTTAGGGGTGGTGGAAGGGTCATTTCACCAATATATCAGGGTGACTATACCAGGGGTGAGGGGCTGGGGGAGTAGGAAAGGGTCATTTCACCAATATATCAGAATGAATAGGGCCATTTCACCATATATTGGGGGTGGAGAGGGGTATGATATTTCATGGCATTCTCCTGCCCACAATCAATCCTATCATCCCAAGGAGGGTCAGGAGCAACACTGATGTGGAAGGGGGGGGGGGGGCAGTAACACTGGACACATTTGGGAAGTTTTACCCTTTACCAATAACTGGCGCCCACTGCACATGCATCATTAACAGTATGGTGATAAGTTAGCCTTATACTCAGGATCTGTAGAACAAACAGGCATGTTAATGTTTGTACTGGTGTCCCCAAGGTTAAAATCTAATTCTTTACATGTATAACTCCAAGCGTTGCTATGCACTCCATCGATGACATTATCAGGTAGTGGGATCAGCAAGAGGCGGAAATAGCTGGGAAAATGACAAGCATGGATGTTCTTCTTTCTTCTTCATAAAGATTGATTTCATGCATGACTTGACTCAGATACTGGTTGAACTTGGGGAGGGAAACCTCCAAGTATTGGCAGTATGCAGCATGTGTCTCTGTGGTTCTGTTGTGTGGGTTATTGGTGTCATAATCATAGGCATATTGGTCCTATACTGGTGATACACTGGTAGCTTATGTTAGATGCTATATTTGATATTGTATTGGTATCATTCTTGCACTTGAGTTGATATATTGATCAATATCATACTGGTGATACACTGGTACATATATTGATTATCATACTGGTGATACACTGGTACATATATTGATTATCATACTGGTGATACACTGGTACATATATTGAATATTATTCTGGTGATACGCTGGTACAAATATTGATCATTATCCTGGTGATACACTGGTACATATATTGATTATCATACTGGTGATACACTGGTACATATATTGAATATTATCCTGGTGATACGCTGGTACAAATATTGATCATTATCCTGGTGATACACCGGTACATATATTGATTATCATACTGGTAATACACTGGTACATATATTGAATATTATTCTGGTGATACACTGGTACAAATATTGATAATTATCCTGGTGATACACTGGTACATATATTGATTATCATACTGGTGATACACTGGTATATATATTGAATATTATCCTGGTGATACACCGGTACATATATTGATTATCATACTGGTGATACACTGGTACATATATTGATTATTATCCTGGTGATACACTGAGAGATACACCGCTGGTAGATACAACACTCTAGTCAGGTAGGACATAATTCTGTTTTAAAGGGTCTATTTGAGGAAGGTTGAAATAATACTAGTTAACTGCTTTCCACATTTGTATTGGATGTCAGAGACTTTGTTACCATTGTTTCTTTAAGTAAGCCTTCCTTGTCAATGGATACAGATGATACAGTGTGAACTATCAGAAAAAGATATATTAGTGACACAGTTAGTATAATTCTGGTGTTAAGGAACTGACAGTTGTACATAACCCATATTTGCCACCATGTTATAACGGATATATTGTCTGGCCTAGGGCGAACCAGGAATGGTTGAAGGCGTTGTTGGCAGCGGTGAAGGGGTAAGTTCATGCAGTTTGTGTTGTCTATGATGCTGTGACCTCTGACTTTGTATGAGTTAATGTGACATTAGACTACCATCTATCAAGTAAATGTTTTATTTCCAATGGGGAAGAAATAGTCTTGTTACATTTACCCACCTCTGATGGTGGCACACTGCTCTATACATATAACATGGCCCCTGACAGAAATCTGTTGTTCTGTTCTGTTGCTGTGGTATTGCTCTGGCCAGAGTGGGTGCATTCACTTCAATACATGGACCTGTGTCGCCTCTGACCTGAACCTCTTTCCTTCCTGATCTAGGTCCCTTCTGAGCCATGCTCTGAATTGCCCTTTGAATCTGCGCCATGCCTTTTGAATCTATAACATGCCCCCTGAACCTGCTCTACCCACCACCCCGAGTCTGTCTCCTGAGGCTGTCCCCTGTCTATTGAATGTATCCCCCGATTCTGTGCCCCCAATCCCCTGGATGACACTGCCCTCCTGTTGCAGCTTCCAGGCCCTCCTGGACCCCCCGGACCAATGGTAAGACACTGCATGGATGCATGCTGGTCAACATAGCTGGTCATACGAGGGCAGTTGCCTCCTGTAGTCAATGCATGGTTCATTCATGACTTCAATGTAAGGAGGTCTATTTCCACCATTGTCCAATGTTCACTATCTGTTACAATAGATTTTGATCCTTTGGTTTAAATAATATTTATGATGAATCCCTGATGACTGTGTAAGGTTTCCAGTACCTGTGTTGCTGTATATTGTGGTGTGTTCAATGATAGATGTTGTTGCCTTCAGGGACCAATGGGACTGCAGGGGCCGCCAGGTATTAAGGTAATCTAGGGTTCCCGTACCATCACCTCAAGCATGTCCATACCTAGAGTAGCCCGCCTCGGGTCCAGTACAGAACAGCAACTGTACTTTGATACAGACACCTAGAGTAGTGAAGATCATCCTGTCTAGAATGACAAATACCCTGTACCCATTCGCGACCATAGCTTCGTTTTGAAGTGACATCCCCATTACCAACAATGTTATCAATAACTCACAAAATGTCTCTCGTTCATGAACTTGAATCAACAACCAATCAAAACGGACAATAGTTAGGCATAGATCTACATTAAAAAAAGTGCGAGCCTTCAATAACATATTTCATCCAATCAGAGGACGGTTATTAATTGACCATCAGCTGGAAAAAACATTTCCTGAGTAATAAATCAGGGCAGGAGACAACGTCTAAGTCATAGACAACAAACATCGAATACTTCAATCATGAAAGAACACTGTAATTTGATTGGACAGTTATTTTTACCATGTCTGTCTAACTGGATTCCGAACTAAGCTATGGTGGTGCATGGGTCCGGGGTATATGTTACAGCAACTATGGCGATATGTCATACTGGATAATACATCTCTCTCTTCCCTCAGTGTCGGCCTATACGTAAATGCACGTGGGACACTGCTACTGCCATCTTTGTCTTTGCATAATGCCTGACTTTCACAAAGAAGTCAATGTAGAAGTTACAGTGTGTTTCTTAATAGGGGTGAAACGAGATATCTGTGCACTGATATGTATCGAGTTCTCATGTCACGATATGATACACGATACGTGTTATCCTGTATCGATACAAGACGATACGCTTGCTAACATGATTTACTTACTATTCATTTAATGACGCCACCCCAGCGGTTTTGTCAGTCAGATATTTCTAAATGTCGTCAAGTTCACAAGTACAAATAACCGCTATGAACATATGTCTCCAGCTAGCTTTTCCTTTGGAACCTGCTTAGAAACATTTATAGTCAAGAAATTTCCACGTGATGTGTCGTAAATATGGGTATCGTGATATATCGTACCATGACCTAGGTATCGTGATATGTACCATGACCAAGGTATCGTGATATATATTGTATCGTGGCCTTGCTGTATAATTTCACCTCTAGTACTTAAAGACTTATACCTCCTCATGTACTCTCAGGACACAGGGAATGTAACTGAATGCTGTTCGTCATTTGGGATAGTTTTGTCTGTGATGGGTAAACATCAATATTTGCATGCATCAACACCTGTAATGGTGTCTGTCAATTTCATGATACCTAGAATTTCTCTGTCTTTCTCTCATCGTACATGTCTCTCATTCATCAAATCTGATTTGTTCTACAATTGTCAGGGTGATATTGGACCACTGGGACCAAAAGGCGAATCAGTAAGTGTGTGTATTGTGCCCCGCCCTCCCTGTGTGTATTGTAACCCGACCCCGCTGTGTGTTGATAGTGCCCAATTCTCCCTGTGTTCAACTGCCTCCCACTCTACTCCTAAAGTTAGCTGCGATCTACTCCTAGTGATCCTACTCCTAGTGATCCTACTCCTAGTATAAGCACGATTATGCCACTAAAGATCGCTGTAGCTGACAGTGTTCTGTCTATAGTCATTGTGAACCCTTCTCCTCCACCTTAAACACCAGCCTTAGACATGCTACAGAATACCATATCCCCTGTCTGTCTATAGTCATTGTGAACCTTCTCCTCCACCTAAAACACCAGCCTCAGACATGCTACAGAATACCAGATCACCTGTCTGTCTATAGTCATTGTGAACCCTTCTCCTCCACCTTAAACACCAGCCTTAGACATGCTACAGAATACCATATCCCCTGTCTGTCTATAGTCATTGTGAACCTTCTCCTCCACCTTAAACACCAGCCTTAGACACGCTGCAGACTACCATATCCCCGTCTGTCTATAGTCATTGTGAACCTTCTCCTCCACCTAAAACACCAGCCTTAGACACACTGCAGACTACCAGATCACCTGTCTGTCGTGGTCATCTGTGTTGTCAGCAGCAGGCAGGAACAAGTCTTGTCCCAAATGTTCCTGCTACCAGTACCACACCCTTCCTCAACCCTGTCTGTATCCACTTCCCTGTAGCTGAAGTTGGTGTTCACCTGTCCACCCTGTCATTGTAAGATGAGCTCCATACAACCTACCCCTACCAACACCATGCTGTAGTCTACCTCCTCCACATCCTCGTCTCCATCAGCATGCTTCATCTCTCCTGACATGGCTGAGCAGCCTGCATGGTCATGCATTACTGCTGTTCCTGTCACTCCCTTGGAGCAGTCTCCTCCTACCTGTCATCCTGTCATCCTTGCATGCTCCACCCGATGGGCTTTGATGGACCTTGATGGACCTGATAGATCTTATGGACCTTGATGGATCTGATGGGCCTTGATGGATCTGTTGGACCTTGATGGACCTGATAGATTTGATGGATCTGATGGACCTTGATGGACCTGATAGATCTGTTGGACCTTGATGGATCTGATAGATCTGATGGATCTGTTGGACCTTGATGGACCTGATAGATCTGATGGATCTGATGGGCCTTGATGGATCTTGATGAATCTGATGGATCTGATGAACCTGATAGATCTGATGGGCCTTGGTGGATTTGATGGGCCTTGATTGACCTGATAGATGTGATGGACCTGATGGGCCTTGATTGCCCTGATGGGTCTGATCAACCAAGTGTTTGTTTATTGATGATATAATGGATGATTGTTTCATTCTTGATAAGGAGTAGAATATTATCTTTGGTACATTTTGAATTGCAACTCATTAACAGACAATGAAATGAAGATACTGTTTTTGGTGCACGCAATTTTAATACTCTCTTCCATCATCTGGGATGTGATGACCTGTTATCTGACATGTGACCTGTCATGTGACTTGTGACTCATTGTCATGTGACTCAAACTGACCTATTTGACCACCACAGGGACAGCAAGGACAGAAGGGGGATGCAGGTTCTATAGGACTTCCTGTAAGTACTGATGTCTGTCTGCATGTCCATCTGCATGTGTAACATGGTGGTGAGACCTGTAGCACACAGCAGAGTTCCGCCAGAGGAACTCATGACAACCTTCACCTTCCAGTCCTTACAGACCTGTCACCATGGCAACTGAGGACACCCTCGGTTACAAGGGTGTCCTCAAGTCATCAGTGTTGTTTGTGACAAGAACATATTCATCAGGGATGTTTGAGATGTAACCATGGTAACTCTCTGTCATGTCCTTGACCTTGGTGATCTATTAGGATTCAAAATTTATGAAAACCACAAACTTTTTTTAGTCATATACATATCTGGATATAAGGAAATGGAGGAAATGTAATGGAACCAAAATATTATGATGACCTTCTTTCAGATTTTCACAATTTAAGGTTCTGTGACGTTTGGTATGCAGAGCTTACATTTAAGAGAATATTTTACATTTTACAAGACTTCCCCCTTGAAACTGACTCGTTTACTTATTCGTGTTGAAAGACCAGTAGCCTGCAAGCCATTATCTGAGAGTGCATTCAAAGAGTGGTCAGAAATCACACAGATATGTGGCTTGAAATGGTACTGTAAACTAAGTCAATGTCAATATTTTCATGACATAAATTTGTCCTTTGTACCAAGTGTAAAGTTATCTGTGTTTGTGTCACTGACATCATGGAGAGTTGACCAAGTGTGAAATTGTGAGTGAGTTATCTCCCTTTGACCTGGTTGCTTTCTGTCACACATGAGAAGGGGTGTAATTGCTGCGAACAATTGTAAATATCCTTTGTACCTACCTTGTAAGCTAAAAACTGGCATTATGTGATAAACAGTTATGTTGTTATATTGTGTTTAAAGATGGTTATTGCCTTCTTTGGTCCAGAAGTAATGGTTAGTCACTGCCCATGTAATAATCACTGGTTTGTGCTTCTATCACTGGATAAACAATGCATATTTCATACATTATTCAGAAACGTTAGTTACCTCCCCCTTGTGGGATAAACAATGTGTATTACCTCCAATATTGGATAAACAATGGACATTATCTCAATTATGGGATAAACAATGGATATTATCTCCATCATTGGATATACAATGGATATTATCTCCATCATTGGTTAAACAATGGATATTATCTCAATTATGGGATAAATAATGGATATTACCTCCATTATGTAGTAAACAATGGTTACTGCCTCCCTCCAGTGGTAAACAATGGTTATTACCTCATTTTTCATAACCAACGGTTTTATTTTAAACCATTATGTAGTAAGCACCCTTGTATGGTTATTATCTCCCTTGTGTGGTAGTGAGCGAGAGGTTTGTGCAACCCTATACAATCCTGGGGCAGATTCAAGCAGGATCACAATTTGTTATCCAAAGTTAACATACGAGGACTAGATGAATAGCAAATTTTTTGTGGTAGTCATATTATTTGTTAACTATGTCACCAATGAGTAAAGTCTAGCATAGATGCTTAATACACTACATGCAGCATCCATGGTGATAGTGCTGTAATATTGTTACACTTAATATGCCCAATTGGGGGCAATCCCCTGTAAAATAGCCACATGTGTTAATGTTAATAATGCATTATCCCTGGATCTAACCATCTATTTGTACAGACAACTGTCCTGGAAACTTGGAACTGTTGCTGTGGAATAATATATTTTAACATTTGTTTTGTGAAAAGTAATTATATCAGTTGTTTCCCGAATGGTTGCAATATTACAAAGGTATATCGTCCGTCTACTCCAGTTGTACAGTTAGATCACACCACTTCACACGTGTGACAGGGCAGACAGCATAATTGTTGCATTAAAGGGAGACAACTCATGTAAAGTGTGTGGTGTGCAAAGCACGGTGTTGTCACTGCACATTTGTTACATTTTGTGTCACAGCCGTCGTTGTTGTCACCGCACTGCACACTGCACCAACTGTAGCAGTTACATCCCAGGATAGCTAGACGTTGTCACCGCCATATCTCAGAAGTTCAATATTTCTACACACAAAAATGACAAAAAACTATTTGTTTTTAAAACTGCATGATTATTCCACGTGAGGTGGTCACCATGTTTGAGTCAATGGTCAACTGTATGACCAGTGTAAGTCTCGTACCCAGGCCTGTTTGTGTCGAATATTGTTGGGATGTTCTGTACTGCCGCCTTGCACTTGTGTTAATCACCTTGTATCCCAGGGGGCCGAGGGGCCGGCAGGGTCGCCGGGCGAGTCAGGGAAACCAGGCATTGTGGGCAAACCTGGCCCAAAAGTGAGTCGTCCTTGTGGTTTCCGCATGCGTCGATGTGTAGCTAGTGGTTCATGCTGCATGCAAGCCTTACTTTCACACACACCTCTGCAGCTTCCCAGCATCCTTTAGTTCTTCCTTCGCCATATTACATCATAGCAATAGGCAGCTGAAATAGATACCACCGTTGTTGATATTCCTTGGTGTCTTTATATCAATATTGTTGATATACCATGGTGTTTTTAAAACAATATTGTTCATATACCATAGTGCCTTTATAAGAATATTGTTTATATATCATGGTGTCTTAATAACAATATTGTGTATATACCATGGGGTCAATAAAACAATGTTGTTGATATAACATGGTGTTTTTATAAGAATATTATTTACCATCTTCGTGAGTAAGAATGGAAAAGGGAATTTTTTTCATTTCATTTATTTATTAGTGGGAATATGGGACATGAATGACATTATTGTCCTCCTTGTTTGTGAGTTTGTGGGGGCTGAAGTTTCCATACCTTCGACTTGATAATAAACTCTTTAATTTACGAGAAATGATGTGTTTTGGCATGTGAGAAACACTTGATGAAAGCATGGCTGCCGACTTCATATGTTTGCAGCAGTCACGCGTTCATTTAGAGTTATGTCCCCTGCATTGCATTTGCTTCCTATTCTACTGATGTCAAGCCGGGAATCAATCTTATTTTGTTTTGTTTGTATTTCTTCTTTAATCATGTTATACGATGATGTCAATCTGGGTTCGGCCTGTGAGATTGTTGCAGTGTAAGCCATTGTGAGTGAACTGCGCTGGCGTAGATGCGTAGACACATCAGCTCAAGCTGCCTCCATTTGGTTAAACCCGTCTTTAATGTTAGTCTGCTGTTTAGTTCTTTCTGTTCTGTTAATGCTTGGTTTCTAGATTCTCTGTAATCGTCAATATATATCAGTGTTCTATACGTATGTGTCGATGACGGGAACCCGAGCCAATGGTCATCATTCACCCTGGCTACCACAATGGGAGACACATTCAGGACAAAACTGTGAATGGCGAAATTTTCGTTTTGTATTCTTTGACAATGAAAGAGCATTTTTCACACCAAGGAAGATATTTGTTTCCTCCAACAGCATGTTATGAAGGGACGGATTATGATACTGATTTGGGGTAGTTGTCTAGTGCATGAATGGAGTTGCCTCCCTTACACTGGTCAAGATGGAGGTGGGTTCCTTGTGAGAGATGACAGCTGCTGGACCAACTGGAGATACAGGATTTCATCACACACTGATTTTTACAACCATTTTCTGCTCTGCAATGAAATTAAATTTCTTTCAGTTCTATCAGATGTAATGTAGTTTAAGTTTATAAATAATTGAAGTTAATAATTTTGTGTAAAGTAGGCTATGCATAACATTGATTGATTTCACCCGTTTCTTGATTAATGATAAGGTATTGATGCTTCTGTTGATGTTAATGACATGCTTGCATGTGTGCCTCCGGGCTGTGTGTCTTGAGATGCTGACGTCTGCTGTTTCTGATAGGGTCCTCCAGGTCCGGCAGGACCGGGAATGTCTGGGATCGTGCTGGGAGAAGACGGAGCTTGCCGGTGTGAGAAGGGAGACAAGGGGGATAAGGGAATTGCGGTGAGTGTCACATGACGATCGTCAGCCAGTTCGTCACATTGTCACATATGTGACGTCCTGTTTTCCCATTTCTTGTGACATTTTTGATAAACAGGTTCTACAGTGGCACTGAACTGGTTACAAGGTTATTGTCACATAACCTGAATGTTCATGTTGTCACATGACCTGAATGTTCATATTGTCACATGACCTGAATGTTTATATTGTCACATAACCTGAATGTTGGGTCACTCACTCACACACTCACTCACTCACATGACCAGACATGATCTGAATGTCCTTGTTGTCACATGACCTGACTTCATATTGTCACATGACCTGACTGTCCTTGATGTCACATGACCTGACTGTTCTCATGTCACATGACCTGACTGTTCTCATGTCACATGACCTGACTGTTCTCATGTCACATGACCTGACTGTTCTCATGTCACATGACCATGCATTTTGAAAATTGGTCTTATTATCGACCAACAGTTGCTTGCAGGACAATGGTCTGTTCTGTGAGTGGGGTCCATAGTCAGTGTCAAATGACTTGACCTGCTTGTTGATGTGCAAGAAGAGGTCAGGGATGAGTGACGTACAGACAGATTTAAGTCGAGCCTCGATGTGTTGGGCTGTCCTTACGTGCTTGAAGAATGCTCTGTAAACATGCTCACATTTAAGTGGTATTAAAGACAGTTCATGTGTGCAAGTCAGGTATTTAGTTTGAAACATGTTTAGTTTCCAGTTATCTTTGTTGTACTCCCCCTCCCATTCACGCTCCTCCACTCCCATCACTTCCCCTCCACACTGCAAGCACCTGTCATGCACATGCATCATTAAGCTTTAGCTGTTGTCATAGGTGTTGAGTGTTGCGTTCTGTGGAGAAGTGTCCCATATTGTAATAGTCTATAGAAATATGGTGTTTATCATCATACATGTACAACCCATAGATTTTACTCCTGAAAGACAATTCAAATTTGATGTCATGCAGCATCTCCTGTATAATAATAATAATAATAATAATAATAATAATAATAATAATCAACTGCTTTCACACAATACTCCATGCACACAATACAGTGAAAAAAGTTAATTTTGAAAGGCAATCAGGAACAGATGAGTTTTAAGGCAAGACTTGAGGAGTGAAAAGCTTGGAGACTGTCTAAATTGTTGAGGGAGGTTATTCCACTAGGTGGCGACAGCGAAAGAGAAATACTGATGGCCACAGGTTGTGTTGATCAGCATCAGGGTACAGGACATTAGGCCATTGTAAGAAGATCAAGTGCAAAATTTCTTGTAAAACTAGAAGACTAATTATTGACAGATGGTCAATCCTTAAACCAGAGCAAGCGGACAAGTAAATGATAAAATGATGATTATGTGTTGCTGTGGGAACGGCTTTATCAAGTTTGACATTGTGAGCAACACTGCTTGTAGGGCATGACTGGACTTCCAGGACCGCCCGGCATAGAGGTAAGGGGGATAACTCCTGCTGCATGACCTCAAGACAACCACACTCTTGGGGTTGATACATACCTATCAAATCAGTCCACTCTTGTGAACGCTCTACAACAACTCTCATCTACATAATCCATTAATCTGGGTAGAAATAGCCGGACAAGGGGATACCACAGTCACTGGATGCTGAATGCTGCTTGTTGCAGCCAGAGGCTGAATGTGATCCGAGACAGGGAGCTGTACTATCTGCCCTGCATGCTGCATGTTGCATCACCTCCTTTATTACTGTTATACACTGATACAGAATGCCCAGAGTACCATGATGGGATTCAAACCACAGACCTTCTGGTATGAGGTCGGACGTCTTGTCCACCTGCCCATAGAGGTGAACAAGCTGACGAGGTTGGGATGTCAAGTGGTGAATTGTTTGAAAGGCATTACTTAGAAGTTGACGGATGACAAAGTAGACACAATTAGACACAACTTCTACTGTAAGGGTGACTTTTTGGTATAGATCCTTATACCCGGTCAAGCAAGACTGTCATGTGGTGTCATGTGGTGACTCCACGTCCTGCTACATACTCCCCAGTCAACAGAAGGCACATTCGGGGACACTTATTAGGGTGCTGGTACTTATTTTGCTCAAGTTTGATATGAACATGCTCTAGTTGCGTGCCAATGCAGTGGCCTTAAAAAAGGTTGGACGCCTTGACCACATGACCCTGGCGGTTGACCCTATAAGCAAGCTAGCATTGAGTAGGGAATGTCATATGTTGGATGACACCAAGCCCTGCTGCACACTGTTCGAATGGCAACCCCTTAGAACGTGGGCGGTCGAGTAGCCTAGTGTTTGCTTGTCACGCCAAAGACCCGGGTTCATTCCCGACATTGGGACAATGTGTGAAGACAATTTCTGGAGTCCCCGCTGTGATATTGCTGGAATATTGCTAAAAGCAGCATAAAGCCAAACTCACTCACGTTCTCATACGATCAGATATAGAATGTGTCTCTGTAACTGCATCCTGTGTATATTCTGTCTCCAAGCATGTGTTTGTGGAGTCCTGGCATGTGAAACACAGAATAGCTTTGGCACAATGAGTACCAAAGGCCAGAAGGGAGATAATTTAGGAACACGTAATTTCATGGTCTTGAAACTGACCATGTTGTTCTCTGAACAGCTATTTCACAAGCAGCTACTTCTAACAGAGGTGACAACATAGTTAGTCATGGCCATAGGGTTTATATGTGCCATATAGTTATTCTCATTTGTCTTATCATGCTTCAAGCCTTCCTGGTGTATTCGGGGGCACGGGTGGCCCAGTCGTCTAAGGCGCCGCGATTCGCTGTGCAGAGTTGCATCCCTGGGTCATGACAGAAACCTATGATTGTGGGTTCGAATCCCTGTTCACCCCAATTATGTTTCTAGGTTTGTCAGCACCATAACCATGCTCGTGGGTTTCCCTGAAGTGGTAAACGTCTTAGACCCGCATCACTTCAGGGTTTCCTCCCACATTAAGCTGACACGCCGTGCTATAACTGGAATACTGGAATAGCGGCGTGTAACCCAACTCTGTATTCAAGCAGATATGTGCTACACTCCAACCATAGAGAGGCACCATAAAATCTACCACTTCATTAACCCATGTCCAAGCCATTGTGCCACTCCATACAGTTGATTGTCACCCAGCTTGGTCGATCATGGCGAGGTGCCACTGGTTTGTGTGCTCCAGACTTGAACTGTAGGCCACCATGATCTACTGTTCTACTGCTGAAAATGGTCTTAAACAACATTCACTCCACATTCTACCCCTGCATGTGCTGCACGTCTCTGCATAGTAATTGTCCCTTTCATTGTTATTTTATATGTTTCGTCTTGTTGTTCACTGTTAATGTTTTTAATGCTCATGGACACATTTTCCCAAGGCAAGAGAATTAACTGACTATCACAGTCCACCCTTGCTGAACTAGGCTGGAATTTCATGGCGCCACCAGTGTTTATTATAAATTATATCCTTTCTACATCCCTCCTATTGACCAGTAAGATTCCACCTATCATTACTTTCATTTTTTTCACACAAAATGGCGAACCCAGTCAAGACGATCTGATTGCTAATCAAGATCTTGATTATAATAAAACGGTTCTTACCTCGTGAAGTGCATCAGATTACTTAAGCATGAAAAGTTCGAAAAAAATATATCTATCAACGCCCGCTTGGCGGTACACATGTTTTGTAAATCCTACAATCGTCAGAAATCTGCACGTAAGTTTACGAACTGGGTGTTGATTTCGATATGCGATTTTGATTGGACTATGCATAGACAAGGGTAGGTCTGTTGGTAGGACAGTCAAAATACAACTCCAAAATTCTAGCCTAGTTCGGCAAGGGTTGGACACTGAATTTTTCTAGTCAGTTAACTCCCTTGCTGCAGGAAGATGACATGGACACTAAAACATTTGACATCATCTTGGATGTTTGACGATTCCACTAGTCAAGCATTATGATACAAAAACATCACAGCACTGCTGGTCAACCTGCTATGCAGAGTTGTGCCCCTTACTTGCACCAGTAACCACAGGTCATGGGTACACCAGATTCACCTGTCTACATCATGCACCTTACTCTTGTAGCCAGAATCTCCTTGGGCTTTCCTCAATCTCATTAAAATCAGGTCTTAGTTTTCATTACCGCTAAACAAGGATCTGAGGACATCCCATTACGGGTCACGTCAGAACGACCTTTTAATGAGACTGGGCTTTCCTTCTGTAAAGGTGACTTGATTTAGTCCTGCTTGTGCAGGTGACTGGATTGTGGGACGGATGACCACAGTCGCTGCTAGTCACTGATTCTACTATGATGGATGGCAACCTTACAAACATAATTTTCAGCTGCACTGTCGATTCTACATGTCAGCATTTTACTCAATGGCAATGATAGACCTCCTGCCATCACTATTGTTAGCTTGTGACACGTTAGATGAAACAGCGCTGGCAGCCATCGTACTACTGAGATGTTACCGACATGGTAAAACACACTCACTCACTCAACATATCTGATTGCAAGACAAATTTAATGTTTCAACTATTTCAAACATGAGATGATATATTTCAGGGCAAACGTGGTCGGCGCGGAAAGAGGGGTCCGAAGGGTGAACAGGTTTGTTGGTTTGTGTTTCTGCATGGTATTGATGCATGCTGTGTTCGTCTACATGTTTCAGGGCCGTCGTGGCCGCCGCGGCAAGCGTGGACCACGGGGAGAGAAGGGTGATCAGGTTGGTGGAACTGGTTAGATGGGTGGACCTCTCCTGTACATGTCTGGACATGTGTTTGTCTGACCATGACACAGACATGTGTCTGTCTGACCATAAGACACATGTGTCTGTCTGACCATAAGACAAAGACATGTGTCTGTCCGACCATAAGACAAAGAAATGTGTCTGTCTGACCATAAGACAAAGACATGTGTCTGTCTGACCATAAGACAAAGACATGTGTCTGTCCGACCATAAGACAAAGACATGTGTCTGTCTGACCATAAGACAAAGACGTGTGTCTGTCTGATCATAAGACAAAGACATGTGTCTGTCTGACCATAAGACAAAGACGTGTGTCTGTTTGACCATAAGACACACATGTGTCTGTCTGACCATAAGACAAAGACATGTGTCTGTCTGACCATGACAAAGACGTGTGTCTGTCTGACCATAAGACAAAGACATGTTTCTGTCCGACCATAAGACACACATGTGTCTGTCTGACCATAAGACAAAGACACGTGTCTGTCTGACCATAAGACAAAGACATGTGTCTGTCTGACCATAAGACAAAGACATGTGTCTGTCTGACCATAAGACAAAGACATGTGTCTGTTCGACCATAAGACAAAGACATGTGTCTGTCTGACCATAAGACACACATGTGTCTGTCTGCCCATAAGACAAAGACATGTGTCTGTCTGACCATAAGACAAAGACATGTGTCTGTCTGACCATAAGACAAAGACATGTGTCTGTCTGACCATAAGACACACATGTGTCTGTCTGACCATAAGACAAAGACATGTGTCTGTCTGACCATAAGACAAAGACATGTGTCTGTCTGACCATAAGACAAAGACATGTGTCTGTCTGACCATAAGACACACACGTGTCTGTCTGACCATAAGACAAAGACATGTGTCTGTCTGACCATAAGACAAAGACATGTGTCTGTCTGACCATAAGACACACACGTGTCTGTCTGACCATAAGACAAAGACATGTGTCTGTCCGACCATAAGACAAAGACATGTGTCTGTCTGACCATAAGACAAAGACATGTGTCTATCTGACCATAAGACAAAGACATGTGTCTGTCTGACCATAAGACACACACGTGTCTGTCTGACCATAAGACAAAGACATGTGTCTGTCCGACCATAAGACAAAGACATGTGTCTGCCCGACCATAAGACAAAGACATGTGTCTGTCTGACCATAAGACACACACGTGTCTGTCTGACCATAAGACAAAGACACGTGTCTGTCTGACCATAAGACAAAGACATGTGTCTGTCTGACCATAAGACAAAGACATGTGTCTGTCTGACCATAAGACAAAGACATGTGTCTGTCTGACCATAAGACAAAGACATGTGTCTGTCTGACCATAAGACAGACATGTTTCTGTCTGACCATAAGACAAAGACATGTGTCTGTCTGACCATAAGACAAAGACACGTGTCTGTCTGACCATAAGACAAAGACATGTGTCTGTCTGACCATAAGACAAAGACATGTGTCTGTCTGACCATAAGACAAAGACACGTGTCTGTCTGACCATAAGACAAAGACACGTGTCTGTCTGACCATAAGACAAAGACATGTCTCTCTGACCATAAGACAAAGACATGTGTCTGTCTGACCATAAGACAAAGACATGTGTCTGTCTGACCATAAGACAAAGACATGTTTCTGTCTGACCATAAGACAAAGACATGTGTCTGTCTGACCATAAGACACACATGTGTCTGTCTGACAATAAGACAAAGACATGTGTCTGTCTGACCATAAGACACAGACACATGTCTGTCTGACCATAAGACACAGACACATGTCTATCCGACCATCAGTAATAATATACTTAGGCTATAATACATTTAGGGCAAACCGACTCTGGTGTCAAAAGCCTGACATTTAACTCGTTCCTCCACTAACCCCACTCCACTAATATGCTGGTGACGGGTATCACAGCCTCCTTACAGTATCAACAGTGCCAATCACTGACGGTGCCAACAACAGACTACCGTAGGTGCCACAACCAGTCCGGCACCAGGTAGAATAGACTTAGGAAGAGGTAGTTATTGTTTAATTGTGGCTAAAGTGCAGTTCATGAATATATAGATTTTTGTCTTTGTTCCCTTCAGTAGAAAAACATAGCAAAATTAAAATAGTGGCCAACCTCTATCAGGGAATATCCACCAAAATGACTTCCACAATGCAGATAGTTATTATTCCCCTCCACTCCTCCCCTCCCCTCCCATCTCTCCATTCCCATCTCTCCCCTCCCATCTCTCCATTCCCATCTCATCACCTCCCATCCCCTCCCCTCCCTTCTCCCCATTTCCTCAGAACCCTTGAAAAACCTAGACAAAGCATTGCACATGCTCTAGATAATGTCGTATGTGAGTGAGTACGTGAGTGTGTACAGCAGCCATATAGCTCACGTATTACAAACAGTGATATCATCTACTCTCAGGAGATAACTAAGAGGTGATAAACTAGCCCACGATGTTGACTCTCTCCTTGCTAAAGGACTTTCATCTCACGACCTTCTGGCACTTTCATTATCAACAAGCAATTGTACCAGCTGATGTCCTGACTGACAAGCAACATGTTGACATTAGTGTCTGCCCTTGGATCACAGGCGATAACGTTTAAAAACTTTCCAACCTTCACCTTCTTGTGACCCTTCCAAATGTTTCACATTGCGTCACGAGTAGACAACCTTCAAATCCAGTAAACATGTTGCCATCATTGTGACATGGCTCTACAGATAAGGAGCCACGGGGTAGTCTAGTGGTTAATGCTTTCACTTGCCACACTGAAGGCCAGGGTTCATTTCCCAACGTGGGTATAATGTGTGATGTTCATTTCTGATGTCCCCGGCTATGCTAAATTGTCTAAAAACCATACTGACTCCCTCTGTCATGTGCAGAAGGCACCTGCTGTAAGAGTGGCCATGATTGGCTAATATATGCTGACGAAGTCCACACTATTACAGTTACATCACATGACCAAATCCAGTCTGGACCAGACAAACCGGAGGTTGATGAAGGGTCCATGGTAGACTACAAAGACAGATTCGACACAGTTGGTTTGTCCGTTTACTGTGCCGGCAATCCAACCACCCTGTGTCAAAGAACAAGCCATTATTATGGAGGCATGTTCTGCCCTGAAACAGGATGAGGAACCCCTGGACATTACATGTGGATATGTTTCAGTCATTTCGTCAAACAAACAAAAAATGTGATGGGTCAGCACCTTTTCTTCCGGAGGTATTATAACTGTCATATCCTCCTGAATGAGCTTGTGTAGACATGGAATATCATAGTTATGCCATGGAGAGGTGTAGGCATCATGTCCACCATGGATCGTGCTGCCCGGCAACAAGGCCCAGGGTCACCGCATTGAGCCCTATACTGGTGTTGTAAAGCTTATCATGAGCATTGTAATAAATTAGTAGAGCAGAGACAGGAATGTGTCACACTGTGTCCATCTGCACCAGGGTGTCTATGGTTGCCATGATAAGCCCTGTTTCCCAGAAAGCCTCTTTACTTCACACTCCAAGTGATTATCACTGAGCTCGCACTCATGTTCCCGAGTTATGCGAGGAGGACCAGATCAGCATACATCCATATAGCTGATCCCCTCCATCAACCTTCACTCCCCCTCCCCCTCTCATGTAAGCTCCTGCAATCAACACACACACACACACACACACCCCTCCCTCCCTCCTATCCCCCCCCCACCCCCCCCACCACCCACCACCACCACCCCCCCCCCCCCCCCTCCAAGCTTCCAAGCTTCCAATTCACAGTTAGTAACAGGACTGCCCATCGCTTCATTTCACCCTCTGCATGATGCCACACATATATTGGGTTTCAATCATCAAAGTAGTAAATGTCAAAGAGGCATCACTTCAGTCTGTCCTACAAATTCATGCTGTGATTTAACTGCAATACTGTTAAAATTAGTGTTAAACCAAAACTTACTCACTCACTCAAAGTAGCGTAAAAGCCAAATCGTCCATTTACTTGCCCAAAAGGATGTTATCATGAAAATTAGTAATTTATTTGAACACCGTGAATACGGTGTTCATTCTCTTGGCCAAATCGTCTAAGTCACCTCACACTTGTTTTGGGGGACTTGCTACAATGTTTCCAGTGCCTCTTACTCTGTGGTGGCTGAAGTAAGAAGGAAGTTGTTAGTTACATACCAGTATCTTTGTAAGATGGAACTAGTTCCAGACCTTCTACCAATCTCGCCCTGCACCCACTGCTGCTGTCTGCAATGACATTTGTCTCAGACAGTTGTATGGCACAGACCAGATTACTACTGGTCGACATCAGTGTTGTGTATCATCACCTGCATGAAAGTAAGGGCTTTTGTTTCAGATCTTGTACTCTTTCTTATCAGTTCATTGTCATTTATTGATTTTGTTCTTGTTTGATTTTTTTTCAATCTGAAATTATAGCCAATGAAATCTAGGTATACCCATATGCCTCTGTACCTCCTCAGTGCTTTTCCTGATGTTTGGGAAGCTCCTACTGTGATAGTGGGATAGACCCAAACCCACATCTGATGTGAACTGTAGCACGCTTTCAGCATCTGTGTCTTCCTGTTTGGGAGCTTCTGGCTACCTCCCGGCTTTTGCTTTCCTCGCATCTCCAAGCAGCATCCCCTGCCTACAAGATGTCAACATACTGCAGACCACTCAACACTTAACACACAACACTCAACACACAACACTCAACCCTCAACACACAACACTCAACACACAACACTAAAGACTCAACACACAACACTCACCACACAACACTAAAGACACAACACTCAACACACGACACTCAACATTCAACACACAACACTCAACACACAACACTCAACCCTCAACACACAACACTCAACACACAACACTAAAGACTCAACACTCAACACACAACACTAAAGACTCAACACACAACACTTAGCACTCAGCACTCAACACTCAGCACTCAACACACACAACATGCACCACACAACACAACACACAACACTCAACTCACCACACAACACTCACCACACACACAACACACAACACACAACACTCAACACTCAGCACTCAACACACACAACATGCACCACACACACAACACACAACACTCAACTCACCACACAACACTCACCACACACACAACACACAACACTCAACTCACCACACAACACTCACCTCCCACGACACAACACTCACCACTCACCATGCAACATACAACACACATTACACACAACACTCCCTGCTTCAACACACACTCCTTGATAATGCACACCCTTCTTCAATGGACACCTTGATAATGCACACCCTACTTTAACACACACACCTTGGTAATGCACACCCTTCTTCAACAGACACACCTTGATGATGCACACCCTTCTTCAACAGACTACACCTTGATAATGCACACCCTTCAACAGACAGACCTTGATAATGCAGACCCTTCTTCAACAGACACACCTTGATAATGCACACCATTCTTCAACAGACACACCTTGATGATGCACACCCTTCTTCAACAGGAACACCTTGATAATGCACACCCTTCCACAAGTTCTCCATCTTCTAAACACAGTTTTATTCAATTCTAAACCTTTCCACTGGTAAAGAGTTTTTTAAACTTTCAGTTACTGTACTTCTTGCACCATTTGATTGCTGTTATATGTTGTCACTGTCACACACACACACACTCCTTCGGACACGCAATGGAACATCTACACCTTGTACTCCCACACAGTCCACCATCAAGCCAGGCAAGGTCATGACCTCAGTACGACCTTGACCTGATGACATACACCACCTTGACCGTCTATGGTTGCTGCTGCCCCGATATCGATATACATAACCCAGGTGGTGGCCTCCATGTTGTCTGTCTCGCAACTAACCGCACTAACTCTCCTCCCTGCGCAGGGCAGCCCCGGGCTAGACGCTCCCTGTCCCATCGGTCCCGACGGGCTCCCTCTGCCCGGGTGTGGTTGGAGGATGCCACCGAACCAGGTAACCTTTGACCTCTTTGCTTGCCGCCCTAATGCTTGCACCCTAGACTCCTGGAATGATATGAAATATATGACATGGTCATGCCAAGTGTTAAATTACGAACGGAACAAATCAGATCTGTTTATAGCACGAAGACCTCCAGGCAGTGGACCCACTGAAAGGTTGCTATAAACAGATGGTAAAACAATGAAGACTTCCACCTGCGTCTTCAAGACGTGATGGCATCATTGTTGTCTGCATGTGAATGTTGTTCGTAATTTTACACATCTAACCACTTATGACCTTGAACTATGACCTTGAATGCATGCATGCATTGTAGGGGCTGCCTGGACTGGATGCCCCGTGTCCGGTAGGCCCAGATGGACTTCCAATCACAGGCTGCGGAGACACAAGTTATGAGGCCAGGAGTGCCCGCTCGCTGCACAAATCCCGACGTAAGCAGCGCAAGAACTTGCGGCCGTAGATCAGGTATGGGGCTCCAGTGTGGATGATATGCATTGATTACAAAGTGCACTCTTCTGTGCTGTCTTATAGAAATGCAGGGTAAGGCCAGGTTATGTTAAACATTCATTCCCAACCACATCATTTCAAACTCAACAACAGTCAATCACTGCTTCCTTCTCTCTGTAATATGACTTGCCACAGACTTATTGAAGGAAGATAAAAATCATATTGGTTTTTATAAAAAAATGATATATTTTGGCCTTGTTCTTATGGTTCAGAAGATATGTCAACCACATCTTCCCGAGGCAAGAGAGTTAACTGACATTAAAAGTCCAGTTTCCCCCCTTGCCGAACTAGGCTGGAATTACTGGGCTTGATCGTAGCACCCACCATTGGCTATTACCAGTTATGTCCCTTCAAAGCCTCTCCTATCTACCAATCTTCAAACAAAATGGCGGCACAAAGTCAGGATGATCTGATCGATAATCAAGATCTATATTGTGATAAAACGGGTCTTACATCGCGAAAAGCATCAAATCACGTGAGCACCTTGATTAAAAACATGAAAAGATTTGGAAAATATCTGCTGACAACAAGTTGGCAGTGCACATGCTTTTCAAATCCTGCAATCGATCAAAATCTGAACGACAGATAATGAACCGGATTTGGATTTCATTGTGCGATTTTGATTGGACTATGCATAGACTCATTAGCCCAGCCAAAATGTAACTCCATAATAACAGCCAAGTTCAGCAAGGGTGGAAACTGGACTTTTATAGCCAGTTAACTCTCTTGCCTGGGGAAGATAACTCTCTTGCCTTGGGAAGATAACTCTCTTGCCTGGGGAAGATGGATGAACCAGCAAACTCGGATACCCAATAGATACAGACACAGAACTCACGGAATCCTGTGTACATACCTGTAGTTTTACCTTGACAGGATATCAGACACCATTAGCAAGACCACTGACAGGCCTATCTACTGCATCAGCTACCTTAACACATATATATTTGAAGTCCTTTATCTTAGAATGTGAATTTCCATGTATACTCTAATCTGCTCCTGTCAATGAGGCACTGCATGGGAGGGGGGCACTGCACTATTTCGCATTTTGTTTTAACTGTGCCAGTAATCTGTGGTGCCACCGTATGAATCTGACCACACTGCATGGGACATGTGCACTTGGGCACCGAGTGATAAGCATGTGGTATAATGCATATATCATGGCAGGGATACAGGTATATGTGCCCTGGGGCACCAAGTGATGCACATGTGGAATATGACATATATCACGGCAGGGATACAGGTATATGTGCCGTGGGGCACCAAGTGATGCATATGTGGTATAATGCATATATCATGGCAGGGATACAGGTATATGTGCCCTGGGGCACCAAGTGATGCACATGTGGAATATGACATATATCATGGCAGGGATACAGGTATATGTGCCCAGGGGCACCAAGTGATGCACATGTTAAGTATGACATATATCATGACAGGGATACAGGTATATGTGCCCTGGGGCACCAAGTGATGCACATGTGGAATATGACATATATCACAGCAGGGATACAGGTATATGTGCCCTGGGGCACCAAGTGATGCACATGTGGAATATGACATATATCATGGCAGGGATACAGGTATATGTGCCCTGGGGCACCAAGTGATGCACATGTGGAATATGACATATATCATGGCAGGGATACAGGTATATGTGCCCTGGGGCACCAAGTGATGCACATGTGGAATATGACATATATCAAGGCAGGGATACAGGTATATGTGCCCTGGGGCACCAAGTGATGCACATGTGGAATATGACATATATCAAGGCAGGGATACAGGTATATGTGCCCTGGGGCACCAAGTGATGCACATGTGGAATATGACATATATCATGGCAGGGATACAGGTATATGTGCCCGGGGGCACCAAGTGATGCATATGTTAAATATGACATATATCATGACAGGGATACAGGTATATGTGCCCTGGGGCACCAAGTGATGCACATGTGGAATATGACATATATCATGGCAGGGATACAGGTATATGTGCCCTGGGGCACCATGTGATGCATATGTGGAATATGACATATATCAAGGCAGGGATACAGGTATATGTGCCCTGGGGCACCAAGTGATGCACATGTGGAATATGACATATATCATGGCAAGGATACAGGTATATGTGCCCTGGGGCACCAAGTGATGCACACAGGTACATGTGCACTTGGGCACTGGGGAATGAGCATGTGGAATATGACATATATCAATCAAGTATATGAGAACAATTTAAAAATATCTCTCTATCACATAACCTTACTTCCCTTTATATCATACTGAGCTGCATCATGGTGTAATATCTTACCAACATGTTACCCTAATCCCACAAATATTGCATGAAGGACTCTTACATCTTTCCAGAAATATTATTTTTATTGCTGTGATGTAATGAATTGATTGTCAATATAAGTTATTGATAGCTGATGGCAGTGACAACAAGAGTTCAGAATATGGCTGAGTTTTCTTACTCTGTTAACCTTAAAATATTACCTCATTATAATACCAGAAATAAGCATTAATTCCTCCTAGAGCCACAAAGTCTTTTTCTGTTATATATATGTGCCAATCCTGAATGTGGTAAAAGAAGGAAGGTTTAATATGTATGCTTCGGTCAAACCACTACACATCAGAAGTTCAAGAGAATGTTTCAGGTAAATAATCAACAGTAATTTCAAACTTGGCTCAGAGTTTGCTCTAGTAAACTGTGGTGGTCATAAGAGACAATCTGATAGATCTATGGTCAGGCTCAGTGACTTGGCTCATTGAGTGTCGATGCTCACAATGTCAACCACTGGTTTGTCTGGTCCAGATTTGATTATTTATAGGCAGCAGCCATAGAGCTGGAATATTGTGTGGCATTAGACAACAAACAAACAAACAACTCCAAACTGTCTTGACCATTTGTTCTAATGTCTATGTGACTTGAACTTATTCATCTTTGACATTAAGGGGCAGTAGTCTTGTGATAAAAGCATTCATTTGTTCCACCAAAGGTCTTGGTTCATTTCCCAAATGGGTACAATGTATAAAGGTGTTTCAGGTTTCTCCGCCATGATATTGTTTCAATATTGACAAAAATGACATAAAACCCAAGTCACTCACTCACTTTGGCCTTGACAATAAGAGGGGGGCACGGATGGCCCAGTCGCCTAAGGCGCCACGATTTGCTGTGCAGAGTTGCTTCCCTTGGGCACGCCAGAAATTGTGGGTTCGATTCCCAATTCGCCCCAATTTTGTTTCTAGGTTTGTCAGCACCATACCCGTGCTCGTGGGTTTTACCAAAGTGGTAACCGTCTAAGACCTACATCACTTGGGGCTTTCCTCCCGCATTACGTCGCGATATAACTAGAATACTGGTAAAACAGTGTTAAACAGAACTCACTCACTCACTTGACAACAAGAAGTAACATTGATGAGGCCTTTTGTGGATGTCACAGCAGTGACTCTATAGCCCCCCCTTTCATGTTACAGTTGCCTGGTCGTGTAAGGCACAACAATTCACTGTGCAGAATTGTATCCCTTAGGCCTCCCAGGAACCTAAGATTGTGGGTTTGAATCCCGGGTTCGCCCCAATTATGTTTTAAGGTTTGTCAGCACCATACCCGTGCTCTGGGTTTCACCAAAGTGGTAAACCTCTTAGACCTGCATCACTTCGGGCTCTCCTCCCACATCAAGCTGACACACGGTGATATAACTGGAATACTGTTCAAAGCAGCATTAAACCCAACTCACTCACTCACTCATGTTACAGTTACAGAAGTACTGTGAAGATGCTCTATGCATCAGTTTGAGTGTACAGTGAAGACTACAAACAATATAGACACGTCTGTATCACGAGTCACGGGATGGACGTTGGCCAGACATCACACAATGAGCATTGTTAGGTGGTTTCTACAATTCAACCAATATATGGTGAGAGTGACATTGTGATCATGGGTGTTCGAATGTACAAGTATCAGCGTCAGCCGAGTGGCCCTGTGATGTCTCGACTACCATGTTAACTGTTCTATACGGAATGTACCCGGTATCTTCAAGCATGTATCACTGATATCTCCCGGTGTTAATCTCCGTTATCTCCCGGCTAGAGACTCCAGACTACAGCTGGACAATACAGCTGCCCTATGTCCACTGTATCAGCTGGTCAGGCAGATTAATCACATGGTCAGTGACCAGAGCACCAACTTTCTGGAGAGAGCAGATACAAGCCTGACAGATTAATACCCTTGTTTTGCCATCAGAAGTATGTACAGGTTCTCCTCTCTAGTATTAATGGTCGGCCATTAACCTTCAAATGTCAGCCAGCTAGATGAAGCCCATCTACACAATATATTCCTCTTGTATTCCCTAAGTGCTCATCAGCCCTAGTGTTAGCTCACCTGGTGTTATGAGTTCACATCTACCAAAGCTTCATGTGAGCTCATATCATGGCATATTGTCCTTGTGTCATTATAGTCTATCATATAAGGAAATCGTGTTTGATGCGGTTAATGGAAAATGTTATGCCTGCAATGAAATAATCCAAAATATGTTGGCGATGTTTGGCAAGTGACACACTGGTCGCTATGTTGGCGATGTGTGGCTAGTGACACACTGGTCACTCTGTTGGCGATGTTTGGCTAGTGACACACTGGTCTCTATGTTGGTGATGTGTGGCAAGTGACATACTGGTTGCTATGTTGACGATGTTTGGCAAGTGACATACTGGTCGCTATGTTGACGATGTTTGGCAAGTGACACACTGGTCGCTATGTTGGCGATGTGTTGCTAGTGACACACACTGGTCGCTATGTTGGTGATGTGTGGCTAGTTACACACGCTGGTCGCTATGTTGGCGATGTGTGGCAAGTGACACACACTGGTGTCTGTGTTGGCAATGTGTTGCTAGTGACACACACTGATCACTGTGTTGGCAATGTGTTGCTAGTGACACACACTGATCACTGTGTTGGTGAT